CGTTCCAAACATTCGATGATTTCTAGAAAAAAAAAAACAGTCTTCCACTTTTTTTGGTTTCGGCTTTTTCGAAATTGTAAAAGAAATATTCAACCGATTTTAAAAATTCCAACACCACTTTGTACCATTCGCCGAGTCGTAACAGGAAAGTATAAACATGTCTGATAAAATTTACATTTGAAAAAAACCTTCTATCTAAGACTAGTAAAAACCAGCGCACGATGTCATGTTTTTGTTAGTAGTCTTAAAGAGAAAAACATTTTTATTAGGAATTATATCTCAAATGTTTTGAAATACGTCCAAAAAACGTCAACCAAAAGTTGTTTATGATGGCGATTTTCGATTACAAAAATGAAATCCAAAATTTGATTTTTTTTTTCAAATAGGAAAGTGAAAATTAAGGTTGGGAATCGGTTGAAATTCCATGATCAACTATCGGTTACGAATGAACTTACAAGCAAAATAATTGAAGATGTTTGGAGTTTCAAATCTAACACGGAAATAAAAATGCTGAAACTGTATGCTGCCGACAACGAGACAGGCTTGAAATCATGATATATTGTACTGATAACCTCATAATTTCTACACACCATTAACGCTGCCCACATGACTAGTAAGTCTACCTATATGTAATACACAACCAGAAACAATACATGTAAAATAAAAACTAAAATAAACTAAAAACTTATTTCCTGCCGAACGACCCTTTATATTTTTGGCAGGTTAAATTAGAAAACTTTGTTTGTGCTCGATTCAAAATTGTACTCGAAAGCAAACCACATGAGCTGGTGAAAACCTTGATTTGTTATCATAAATTTATGATTTATATAAATTCTTCATTTTAATTCTTTCAGAACTTCCTTTATAAGTTATAACATGTCCAGTTGCACTTTGACATATATCTGTCAATTGCAACCCTCCCTAATTTCGGGGGTTCTCCCTAATTTTCACCAAATTGTTACTTTTTCAATCAGAATAAAATTAATTCCTTAACTACTTGTATGCTTCCAAATTAAAAATTGATTTAGTGCATTACAAAGCAGCTAAAATAAGAAAGTTTACACTTCTCTGTTGTTATATACAGTAGGCCATTGCATATAGGTTTTAAAGACGTTTTAAGATTTTGCCACACGCTTAATTTCTCCCTCATTTCAAATTTGAAAAGTTGACAGGTAATGCATTGAAAAGGCGTATTCATGACCTACATGCAATGCATGGCACATTAAATTTTAACCTGGTAACCATTCAGTTTCGAACATGATTAGGAGTCGAGTACACAAAAGTTTTATAATCTTAATTGAGTCCAGGTGATGTGCATTCATCCATAACATACAAAGGATTGTAATGTTCCAAACCTGTTAATTGCGTCCCCCTCCCCCCCCCCCCCCCCCCCTAACTAAAATACAATTTTCATGGGGGCGGTGGTGTGTGGCCCGTCACATGTGTCGGGTTAGTGGAATTGTACAACATTTAGACTTATAAATCTGTCAATATTTGTTGGCCTGTAGTGATATTATTTGACTAGCACAACATCGGTCACTAAAGTCTAAACTACATTTTGTATAAATACATGTAGCATATATATATATCAAGAAAAACTACTTTAATCCTGCCAAATAACGTAATTTAAATATAATTTTGTTTTACTTTCAGAATTTCTTGCGAGTCGAGGTGAACAGCCGGCAGATGATGCAGAGACAAATACGACAGGGTTCATGACGCCTTCAACCCGTAGTCCACCGATCGCGAGCACGTCTTTAAGTCCTGTGTCAAGTCCCTCGTTAAGCCCTCCTACTGAAAGCATGCCATTTACAGCTGAAGAGTTGTTCAGGAAGAAAATCCGAAGAGAGAAACCAGGGCCCCCACAAAAGCAATTTTCTGCAGTGTTGAGGGACTGTGCACTGGCCGCACATATCTGGAAAAATGCGCCGAAACTAGAGGAAATCTCTAGTCGAAAACGTGAAGCTTTTTTTGAAAAATTCCTGGCTCAGTTGCCCCAGCTTTCCACTTACAAAACCGAGGTTTGGAAACGTCTTGGTAGGCATTTGCAGAACAGAAGGAAGTATTTATTAGACAAATCTCTGGGGAAACGAAGTTCAGAGAAAAAGGGTAGATCATCATCAGGTGCAAGATCGCCAAAACAGAGGACAACCCCAGCAAAATCGTCGAAACATCTTAAATCATTGAATTCGCAGAAATTTACTCAATCGCCCCGACATGTACCCAAGACACCAGGTAGATCAGATGCAAGTTCCCCAAAATATCGCAGGACAACCCCAGCAAAATCGCCGAAACATCTTAAGACTTTGAAGACAACCCCAGCAAAATCGCGGAAATTGACTCAATCGCCCAGACAAGTCGCACCAGCTAATTATAAGACAAGTCGGACTCCAGAGAAGTCTAAGTCAACTATAGTACGGCCTCTATTTAGAGACGAAGTTTCGAATGGCCATTCCCATGGGTCGAAAGTGGTCATACAATCTAAGAACAAAGAGAACATTGGAAAAGGCATTGTACTGGTGGTGTCCGGAGTATTTGCAGAAGTCTGCCTCCTTTCAAAGAATACAAATGTGCAACTAACCGACATTGAGTTATATGAAGCATCCAATGGAAGTGAAAGTTTTGCAGATCTCAAAATACATCAAAAGTTTGTTTGGAAATTGGATCTATTAGTGGTAGAAGGTAGCCAAAAAAGCAAGAACAAGGACAGAAAAAACAAGAAGGACGAAAGCGATGACACAGGATCCGGAGCGAACCTTATACCGATGACAATGTCTCCCCCTTCTCACGTAATACCATGTGCAGAAGTTAAAGAGAAAACTTCATCGCCTTCGGACTTGCAGCTCGTTCTTATGGAATGGTCTGCTGGGGAGATTTATATGGGAATTCTCCTCTTGTCATTTAATAAAGTATTGAACTGCAAGAAACCCATAATCCGCATCACCGACGTAGAAGGTTACGCTTTCAACATTCTTTGTACAAGCAACGAGAAGATTGACCATGCCATGCTAACTATAAACCCAAGAGATGTGCAGAAGAATCCGGACATGGATTTTCTGGTTTGGAAGCTTAAGTCGTCCGGGGAACTTTACAGCATAACTGGTGAAGAGTCATACAACATTATGATTGATGTCCAATCAACCTTCATTGCAGACATGAAAACAGCCGTTGTCAATTCAAGTATCTGGTCTAGCTATATTATAAAACTACTGATAGTTTAACTATGTGCTTATTTTTGTGCAAGTCGAATGGGAAACTGCAAACAATTTTTTTTTTTTTTTGGGGGGGGGGGGGTAGATTTACAGGGGTGTACACATGCACATGTAATTCCATTACTAGGCATTAGCCTACCAGGTTATTTTGTTGCAAATGGTTTCATTTTATTTATTTTGTTTTTCTTCGGATGTACCGACATCCAATTACCGTTGTCCATCAAGTCAGTAGTCTAGATCTTGGACAATTTCTGTCTATTGTCTCTCTGATTTTAGTCTAGATGTCCTCCGTCATAGTATATTGGATTATTGCTTTTCTATTTTTCAAAAACAACAAAAATCAAATTCCAACATGCATGTACAAATTTATTTGATTGAACATAAGAATTGTGTCAACAGTGGTGCTATAATTAGTGGGGACATTACATCCTAAAGAACATGTATATATATACTAATTCTGTGCTAATTCTGTCTCGGGGCAGGGCTTTATGGCATCTCCCACTGTGCCAACTGGCATATATAGTATCAATGTCAATCTTGAATTAATTCAATGATGGGTATGTTTATTTGATAAAATAAACAGATGTGACAAATAATGTGTATTGTCTCGATCTAAATGATTTTTCTTTTTTCCATTGGTAATTTGACTTACATGATCATTAGGCAAAATAAAAAAAATGTTGTGTTTTTGGCTCTGAAATAAATAAGGTAGCATACAAGGTTGGAAAATCACAGTGATTGGTCATGTTTATCCTCAATAGTGACATTTTTTGCTTTTTGTCAAAATCTTTTTTTTAAGGCCAAATGCCAAAAATGTTTTGTTTTTTTTTGCCTCTACCTAAATAACATGTTAGTCTGGAGTTATTTTGATTTTAAGTACATTAACATTTTGATTTATAAGGATGTTGTATAACAAACATAATGGCGTAATTACACAAGGATTGTTAAATTTAATATCACAGGATCAAGCTAATTAAGGCAACAAGAAAATGGTCAGACCTTTAGTATCAACATTCTTTAATGGCCATTAAATTTATTCGGTGTGGTCATACAGAATAAATGTAATGGCCATTAAATAATAATTTCTGTGCCATTAATCCAAAGCTAGACCATATTTTAATGGCCATAACATTTTGTCATCACCCATTAAATTCACTAAAACTTTTAATGGCTCTTAAATTTAGCCATTTTAATGGGACATTGATGGCCATTTACAGCTTAATGGCCATTATATGACACCATTAAAAAGCCATTACAAGAAAACAGGTAATTCATTAATGGCCATCAATTACTTAAGTCATGGCCATTACTATATTATGTTAATGGCCATTGATTTAATGGGTTTCCCATTAATCTGACTCTTAATTTTAGCCATTTTAATGGCTTTTTAATGGTGGGTGTTAATGGTTTATTAATGGCTTCTGGTCATGGCTTTTTCATGGTCAATTAATGGTGCACTGTTTGGTAGTGTTAAATGCTTTCCTTTTCCGGAAATGTATCTAAATTGACACATAATCTACACATGTTTGATTTTATCAATTATTTTACTTACTATAATCGATAGATAGAGGTTAAAAATTGATTGCTGTTACCATTTTCAAGGCGACAGAAAAGTCTTAAATAATCATTTCTCACAATCCCAATATTCTTTTTCAATTCAATAATTGGAGTTTGTGTGTGCATTTACAATAATCACGAAAAAACTTAGTAAAAGAATGGTGAAGTATGAAATAATGAACCTTAATAGCTCTCTTTGGCTTTCATAGAAATTGCATGAAACAGACTCACCAATGCCTATAGAGAACAAGATCATTCCAGCAAAAACAACGTAATCTGCCACGTGGAACCCGAACTGTGAAGCTGAAATAAAAGGCACCTTTCTAAAAACACACAAACGAAACTAATAGTTCAAGGTTGGTTTAAAAGGTTGAAAGTAAGACACAACCCAGCTGACTGCACCTTAAACATTTCATTTCCACGTAGCACAGGAATGTAAACTCAATAATTGTTAACAACAATATAGGAAGTAGCTCCATCTAATGTCAATAATATTATGTTTATTATTATTAATTATCTATAGTTTTGCCAAACTTAATTATACTGACATTTTGTCCTTCTACAACTTACGGGTTATGTTGGGATGAGTTTTGGTTGTATTCAGTATAACGTCCTATCAACAGCTTAGGTCATAACTTTGTCAATATTCAAGGTGAAATCTCACAGTTTTGCATTTAAATTCACCTCACTAAATATTTGATATCTGGAAAGTTGTAACTAATTCAATGGTTGTATCTTAAAGATACACAAAAATTAGGTTTGCACTAATCACTGATTAAGCTAATCACCTTTTGTACAACTGGGCCAGGATCTTTATGTCTGAATTTCTATAACAATACCAGTGTTACACAAACAATCCGAAAGTCTATCTTACTCTATCGTTTTTATATAATATGTTTGATATAGTTCATCCTGCAATCTACGATTCAAAATGATTTAATATATGCATGAAAATTTCTCGCAATCACATCGGTCGGATCATATACACGTGACCAGTCCTCAAAAACTCGTGTAGCCTGGATATCAGGTGAATATCTATTTCTAAATATAGCCTATATGGAAATTCCCCGGAACCTATAGTAACGCATGCGTAGTTATACCGGAACGCGATTTGTCAGACGACATTAGATAGCTGCTGAGGAACGTTTCTCCTCCGTTAAATCAGAAATTACCAAAACTATTCGAGGATAAAGATGCTGTTAATATAAAAAAGGCCATTGAACACGCAGTGCATGTCCTCCATGTCTTCGAAAGCTACGATGCTGAACTGTTAAATTCAAACCTTGCTACATTTTAAAGGGACATCACGTGGAAAGGTGTTTTTTTTAATGAATGCATGTATTGTATGCACTTCCACTTATGTTACCTCGCTATCCCCATATTCATAGTCCGTTCCAAATGTCCAGTTTGACCACTTGAATTGTTCGGGAAAGCCCTGCTAAAATTAGCGCCGATAACGTCACGGTAACGGTTTCCAAAGGGGCCCCCAGAGAGGGGCCGTCAGGCAACTGCAACCTCTTACCGCACTATGAAACCATGTTATATGATTTCTAAGTCCGTATTCAAACTTATTGAACGGTAATTATTCATCATTAGAAGTTAATTGCACACTTGCCAATGTTCAGAATTTAAATTTATGCAGCTTTAAACTTAAATTTGTTGCCAATAAAATTAAACAAGGGATGGGGCACAAGTTTTTACAATTTATCACAGCCTTCTCCCGTCATACATTTACAATTAAATGTCAATAATGATAATAGACATAAACATAAAGTAAATATATTTAAATATATATTGAATTTAGTACCGGAATGTGGCCGGTACAGATGGTACGGGGCTAAACACCTTCCCTACACCAAGGGACAAACCTTTCTGATTTTTTTTTTATATATTGCCGGGGCAGAGGAGGCCGGGTATTCATTTTAGTACTAATTTAAATCTTGCGTGTAAAAACAAAAATAATCGTTTAATTCAGCAATACAATTAAATTATACCATTTTATTGAACCCGGTAATATTATAAATTATGTAAATCCACGGACTTAGATATACGCCGTGGGTCATCACAACAGTTATCCCTTGGATTGCCTCATGGCAAAATCAAACTAACCAGTCACTTATCCCTTCCTTTCGCATGAACACTGTATAATTATAGAAACACAAAGTAAACTCTCTCCAATACATGCCCATTAACATATTGAACTAAGTTCATCTGTGTTCAAACTCAGACAAAGATACTAGCGAGCTTAATAGTTTTAGATATTTATTCATAACATAAACAGCGCTAGCATTTCTGTCGATTCCATTTCAGCTTAACCGGCTATCCGGAAAAATACATGCACCGTACTTACTGCTACGGCAGTTATTTTCTCCTTTGAATACTGCCCACCTGCAATAATGATTCCGTAACGTACACTTTGCGCTATCTTTTGACCATGAGCTAGTAGATGGAAATCCCTGAACAAAACGTTGGTCAGACAGATAGAAATACCGATGATTTTCTTAGATTTAATCATTTTTATGATTCTATTTCAGCCAAATCCGATCGTTATTTTCCATAAGGAGTCTCACTTGATATGTTTATGTAGTATTTGAAAAAAAGACAAAAAATAAAGTTACTTCACCGTGATTCCCCTTTAAACGGAGGCTCGGGTACAAAAATCAGAACCTTGAGTTTTGTTTTGTTTTATTTCATTGTTGAAGCATATACAAGAAACAGTTATGGACTTTTGTGCTGGTAAATATGATGTGATATTCGCGAGCACAAAAGTCCATAATTGTATAATATCTAGTCATCTAGTTAGGCATTTTTGTGACAGGTACTATTGGACCGTCTACAAATGAACCTTTTGATCATAACTCGATCCCGGGTAAAATACAGTTCGCCTGCATTTCTTTCTGGTATTGTTAACACGGTATTTGTACACTTTAAGGAAAGTATTGTGTTCAAACTAATTGTGATTAAATATAGTTTCTGTCTATTACAAATACATGCAAGTATGACATATACAGTACGTGTTATACAAACATTCCAATGTACTTACACATGATAAAGTTCTTCGCCCTTCTGAGGAAAATAAAATGTGTCAAGGAAGTCTTTATAAAGTCACCTTCACTAAGCGTTATGCTAATGTATTTCACAACATGACCATGCCTACATTATCTACCAGACGTTCAGCAACATTTTTGTAGAAGACATATGCTCGCACTGTCATGAATATTTAGTATGCCCACATCTTATGTCTTATAGAACATGTAGGTTTTCATTTACAATTTTCTTTTGTTTTAATTATTTGATTTTGATTTTTTCGAGGATGTCGTGACAAGGGTAACATATTGTTCCCTGATCCCGCGATGCGACCGAATGTCGATCCTCAGGAAGGCACTTGAATGATGCTGAGAAGGCACCACTAGTAGCCCAAAGGTGAAGTAGTTGTAAGCCACGCATTAGAAAGGCAGTTCAAGAAGTACACCACCAATCAAAACCAGACATCTAACATCAAAACTTAGAAATATGGCATTTTAGTATGGCTTGAAAAGACATTCGAATTTCGCAAGGCAATTGTCCTCGGAATGAAAGCCTATTTCGCAAAGGGGAGTTTCCGTTACAGAATACCGGAACAATTTCATGTTTTGAATGCTTATAACCATGACTTTCAAATTATTAAGAAGACGTGATTTCAGGATTGAAATAGACGCAGAGGATTAGCCATGATATGGCGAATGTAATCAGCTTTACATTCGCCCTCTACTTCAAAGATGGGGATGTCAAGGGCAACCAAAAATTGTTATAAACAGGTAAACCTATTTGTGTAGTATATGTGTATTACATGAGTTCTGCCTACAAACTGTGATGAATGTACATATCGTAATCCTACCTTGGCTGATTTAGCATATTATTCACGTTGATCTGTTGGCGTTAATCATTTGTGTTATGTCTCCGTAATTCGAACGCTTAGAAGACAGATAGTTTTCGAGGTACAATTAAAACGTACAGGTGATTATACCTCACTGACTGCTTGGTGTCGCTTATATAGCAAGAGGGTATAAATAGGCAGAATCCAGCAACAATCGGCCCAGTTCTGTTCTGTTCTCGGCGTGTGTACAGCAGTGACAGATCGCAAGTACCTATTATATGTGAGACCGGCTTTGTGTTGGAAAGATAGAAGTGACTGAATAAGTCTTGCCTTGATCCACACACTGCATGTAAGATATATTAAATAAATGATTGGGTGCTGTAGCGAGATACTGTTAGACAGAAGGTGTCACGGGCATAGTCTATGCAGTGCTAGTCGTGACTAGGGTAGTCGCGACTAGGCTAGTCGTGACTAGGTATAGTCGTTAGAGCTAGTCGTGACTAGGTATAGTCGTTAGAGCTAGTCGTGACTAGGTATAGTTGTTAGAGCTAGTCGTGACTAGGGTAGTCGTGACTAGGTATAGTCGTTAGAGCTAGTCGTGACTAGGTATAGTCGTTAGAGCTAGTCGTGACTAGGTATAGTCGTTAGAGCTAGTCGTGACTAGGGATAGTCGTTAGAGCTAGTCGTGACTAGGCATAGTCGTTAGAGCTAGTCGTGACCAGGCTAGTCGTGACTAGGTATAGTCGTTAGAGCTAGTCGTGACTAGGGATAGTCGTGGTCATTAGAGAGTGCCATAGTTGTATACTAGTATAAGGTTGTCGTGATCGGCGCGACTAGGTCATATAGCTAGGTAGTTGACTATAGGGCAACTATAGTGACTAGGGCTAGCCGCGACTAGGTAGGCGAGTTGGGTACTGCCTGAATTGTACGGTAGTGTGTGTAGTGTGTTATATTCATACAGAGCAGATAGCTTTGGTATTAGTCCTATAGTCGTGCAGTAATTATTCTGTTCATATCATGTAATAAGCATTTGGTAATGGGTGTGCTGGTTACAAGGTAGTAACACATATTTGTATATGTTTGCAACTGTAGTATAGTTATAAGTAAGCCTACAACACAGGGATCCTTAGAAGTGACTAGGGTACGGACCCCGGAACGTTATAAAACCTACCCTTTTGTGAGTTTCAAGATCAGCTGAAACGTTTTAGTGTTGTGCATGATGAAACCAGTAATTAAACACTGTATGTTGTATTTTATGCATTTTAATGCTTTCCTTTTGAAACATTGTGGAAACAACAAGATACATGTTTTGAGATGATGTAGAGGTTAGTCAACGTCTTGTTTCTGGCCTGTGCTTAAGATATGAAGTCCAGCAGGAGTTACCTCCCGTGTTACATACTGACATAGGGGAATCTTCCGGCTAACTCTAGTGGACCTCCCACATCAATACCTCTTGTGTTTTTACATTAAAAACACAGGCATACACATTTGTGTGTATTGAATATAAATCTACATGCATTATAAATCAGCATGCATTATAGGTGCTGGTGATACAATAATGTTAAAGAACACGAGGCATTCAGCTTTCTACGTGTTTTTTTTTTTTTTTAAATAAAACTCAATTAACAACAGGCTACCACTATATAGGTCTTCATTGTTTAAGATCATGGATGGAATAGGACAGATATATGTATTAAATTGTAACCTACAGACAGTGTCATAGAGATTTACCATACCATATCAATAAGGAGATATTACAAGAGTGAATAAGTCAAGGTATGTGTACATTATGTAAATAAAGGCCTGAAAACGTTATGACAAGGATAAAACAGCCAGTCTGAACACACTCTGTTGTACAGACCTAGTGATATTGGAATGATTGAATCATATGGTCGCACAGTAGTAAACTTATCGTTTTGTTTGTCTCAGCATGGTCGTACAGTAGTAAAGTGATCATTTTGTTTGTCTCAGCAGGCTGACGTTTTCCCTGTACTCTACATGTGTTTCGGAACACTGTAGATACTTGTTTTAATCTTTCTTCTGATGTTATGTCCTAAATGACCATATGATCAGTGAAATGTACAATCAAAATATTCAAATATGTAAGAGGTTTTAAGCACCTGCCCCTCTGTATGAACAGTAGTTTAAACTAATTTGTATTCACACCTTTTGGCACGAGGTTTCTATAATTATCTTACTCTTCACGGTATCTCACTACCTGATCACACGAGGTTACTATAAGTATCTTATTTTATCTCACTACCTGATCACACGAGGTTACTATAATTATCATACTCTTCACGGTATCTCATTACCTGATCACACGAGTTTACTATAATTATCATACTTTATCTCACTACCTGGTCACACGAGGTTACTATAATTATCTTACTCTTCACGGTATCTCACTACCTGATCACACGAGGTTACTATAATTATCATACTTTATCTCACTACCTGGTCACACGAGGTCACTATAATTATCTTACTCTTCACGGTATCAGGTTTTTGTCTGCGTCTTCATGTTTCTCTGGAAAAAACGGAATCTTTGTGTTGCCACATTAATTGTACTTGGTTTGCGCTATCTACCTATTTCTTCTGTCTACTTCTTTATACGGTGGTATCTTCCTTGGCAACTCTGGCAATCAGGAATATTGGATTCAATCACGACGCTTAGCGGCTTTAATAAAAAGAGATATTTACGGATATAAATTTACCGATATTTGTCGACAAGTCTGAAGATACATATCTATATGAGTATACACACTCTAAATTTGATATTATCTGACAATCTTTTTATTTCAAAAATCTTTGACGTCACGACCGGAAGATGGTTTGTCGCAGTTTTTACGTCTGCATAAGATTTAATTAATTAACAAAACTTTTTGTTACATCAAACTTGAATTACAATTTTCCTCTCATTTTGGTATTTCTCTTTACCGATAATTTATCAATAGCAGACACAGAGGTCGAGAATATCGAACATTTGACAATGGCCGTAAAGTATTTGTTAACCTTTTTATTTCGAGAAAATTCGAGAAAATCAGCCAATACATACACTGTATTAGTGGATTTGACGTGATGTTAGCTATCATTCTGTTACTCACACTGAGTAATCAATATCAATGTAAGAATGTAGAGTTATCACCTGCCATATAATCAATGAACGACGGTAAATATTAAGGTCCAAATCAAATCAAAAATGTCATTGCACAACCGAAAGTATTTATAGCACAGTGACTAGACACCCTATCTGTCATCGGCATAACATCTTATACACCGACTCGATAAAAGCTTGGCCCCTATCGCGACAAGTATGGAAGCTGAATATGATCATTTATAAGTTGAGCAGCACTTGCTCGCGAGGACAAAGAATTAACATTCTTTTCACATGTGCCTAATCGTCACAAAACCGTGGTTTGAAATTTTCGCGGATAATTCGTGCTTTTCTGCATTCTCAGCAAAACTGCACAATTATATCACAAATTAAAACCGTTCTTTTTTCACGGTAACAAAGTAAAACTCGACAAAGTAAAAACTTGACAAAGTAAAAACTCGACAAAGTAAAAACTCGACAAAGTGCTTTTTACTAATAAGAACGACGTGTTGTCCTGCCCACCTGTTTGAAACCGATTCCTAATATTTTCTCTATTGGTTTGACAGCTGTAGCTGTTATGCCTTTTATTTTGTTTTAAAGAGTAGCAATGACGACAGTTTTAAAAAGGGGCCAGCGCGCATAACATTTTATTAAACGAGATATTTTACGCCACATTTTTGTAACAAAAAATAAGCGATCGAAAAGTTAGAACGGCCGGTTTTCGCTTTTTGCATTTCAACCTTTATAATGCCGAATTGTGGTGATAAAATGCACGGCGACAAAGTGAACAAATGGTATCATGAGGCCAATGAGCTACCATATCACAAGTGGCTTGTAAACAGTGTTATCTGGATATACATGGGAGGCCTCCATACGTTATTATTGTTTGATCGATATAACCGGTACTGTTGAAACGTTTCAGTGAACTGTTGTTCAGTACAACAAGCCTCAATTGTACGAATAATTAGACTGAAGAGATGTAAAAGTGTAAGAATGGATTCGTTGTAAAAATTACAAAGTAGAGTAACAAGAAAATATACTCGAAATATTTCGACGCAGTGCCAGAATCAGTCACTGAACCGGTAGCATGTTTAAAAGGCAGGCCTCCCACCCCATATACGATTTAAGGTTATGTCACATGTTCAATAAAGGTGCGGGACTTTATTTTAGTAGATAAAATATTTACCTGGTGTTGCTGTTACGACCGATTTGCGAAACAGGAAGTTGAAAGATCTTTGTGAGAAACACCAGGTACAAATCCACAAAAAACGATGGAGAAGACAGCGCAACAGGGAGCCCCGCAACAGGGATACCCACAACAGGGATACCCACAACCGCAACAGGGATACCCACAGCCACAACAGGGATATGGCTCTCCTCCCCAGCAGGGTTATCCCCCACAGGGGGCGCCCCCTCCCTACACCCAACCACCCCAACCGGCGACTCAATATGCGGGTACGTATAATATTCAATATAGTGTTAACTTCGTGTGTCCGACAAAGAAAGACTTTACATTCAGGTAAAATCTTTTTATTTACCATAACACTAAATGGTTTTCGTGGTACAAATTGTGTGTCGATATAGTTCAAACATGGTAACATGTTATAGTTTAATATATAATTACGTATACTTTGATTTGTATAGGAAATAACGATGTTGTATATAATGTTCAATGAACATGTCACTTCCGTTAGTTCAGCAGCGAGGTGAAACGCAAACATTATAACAATGTCATATACAAAAAGATAGTTTGAGTGTTAGACAAATTATAGACAAAATGTATAACATTTCAATTTATACTATTCAAGGACAAATATTGATGATTACATTTTTACCAAAATTTATCAAGGTATCCATCTTGTGTGGTTAAAATGAATCATTGTGAGGCATAGTAAGTAAACGAAACTTTTGTTATGTTTCCGGAATTCAATTTTCAATACAAGCAACGTTCTTAATCCCATATGGCTAGTAATACTATTACATTGTAATAGTGAAATCCCATTTATAAACATCGATACAAAATGTCAGTTTGGGCCAAATTAAATTTAGTTGTGAGTATATTAACGATTACATCAACGTGCATTCAGAGTCCACTACCGTTGAACTGGGAATGTATCCGTTATGGCTACAAGTAAACTGTTTGGTGTACCAGGAGTGCACCTAGATATTTACTGGAGTTTTACCAGATATCCAGTCCGAACCGTTCAAATCATACGGTGCTCTTTACCTAAAACCCACTGGAAACTGATAAAATGTTTATGATGTTTATGCAAATTTTAACACTGTATTTCAATTTTAATAAGTGTTAATAAAATATCAATAAAAGTACAAAATGACATGATGAAATAAAAGCGCAATGAATAATATGTATACTGATAATATCGAAAGGATTAATAAGGATTAAGTAACATCCAATTATATAACTTATAATCAAAGTTCTTAAACAAGCATACTCTACTTTTAGCAAATACATTGTGATCTTACAGTTATTCAAGAACCATGCATAACTTTTAATTTTCTTGAACTTGTCGATTCAGGTATCAATGTTTATAATTATTATTGTGTAATGTTTTTTGCTCCTTTAACAACAATACGTTAATGGATGCAAAAACAGTAATCACATGGTACATGTAGTTAGAAATCATCATACATCTATTAAAGCGTATGTGTGTTATGTCTTTGCTGAGTTGGTTGGGGTATGGGCAAGATTGTTTGTACTTGTGAGAGAGGAGACATAAACTAGTATGCTGATATGCACCAGTACGCTGTTGTTATCAGTTTATTTACCTCACATTTACTATACACTGTCAAATAGCATTGATACTAACCTGTATACACACAGATAAACGTAACACACGCACACAGGTGATCGCACCTTAACATTTGGTAATAGATAAAGATTACCAGACATAACTTAAACTGTATTATGCAGCTGTTTCGTCCCCCTATGACTCATCAGTGATGTCAGAGGCCGAAACGTTGGAAATAAATGAAATGAACATAATTTATAAATATTTAAATTTATAAGAAAACCTTGGTCGACTACCGCTAAATTTTACTAAATCTGTAACTTAGCAAATATTTTTAATTACAGAACTGCATAACTTTGATGTATTGTTACCATTGTAATAATTTATCATCTGGCGTTTGAAGACTCTAAAAATAAATCTTCTTCCCTCTGTACTTAATGAAACTACATATGCATTGTACATGCATTGAATGTTATTACACTAACATGTAATTTCTACAGATATTTTATTTTAACAATTGTCATTGCTATTGATAAACACCAACAGTCAGGCATACATGTATTATAAACAAGATGATAATATTCCCAATATCTACACATACATTATATCTTACCCAGTACAAAATAGCTGTATTCGTCATAGTCTGATATTGATATTTCATATTCGTTTTTAAAGAGTCATTGCCCTTTTTGGTAGCCTCTTTTGATCCTGATTAGCTAAGACAATAATGGCTATTACTTTAGTTTAAAGGGTCTGCCATTGGTGATGCTCTCATGGAATGGTACCTAGAGAATAAGGGCATGCTGTATTATACAATCCACACCTCACATCAGGGATGGATTTAATTACTCTTTCTTCCAGTAGATGAATAGAGGATATTTATCGGGTTCCTGTCGGATACCAAATATATTTCATAAGTACTAAAATATATGTATATGCTGCAATACGAGTGAAATATATATGGTATTTAGTTCTGCATCAAAATATATAAGGATGTGCTCTGTTTGTATCAAGGTTAAAAATAACAAAAAACAAAGACTGAAAGTGAAACATGTCATTTATTTATAGAATAAATGACGGTTTGAATTATCATCTTTTTACTTGTTGTACACACTTGTACAAAGGTTTCTGTTACATCAGATGAAAACAAAATAATTAGAACCCATTTATACAAAGATGGGGATGTGGGACCGTACTTGGCGTTTGGAGTAAGATATGCATACCTTTTCCAAAAATTAGATCAACCAACAAGACAAAACTACTTCAGAATAGAAAAGGTACAGTGATGTTTATTACAAGAAGTCAATAACCCCGTGGTAATAGTACACTGTATAAGAATAAAACAACCAAATAGGTATAGGTTATATTAGGATATAGCGATGTCCAATACCAGAGGCTACCCCGTGGCAATAATACAATGTATTGAAGCAGTTCACCACACAGAATTAAAACGTTTCCATCTCTTGTAAACATAATAAACATACTTTTACATGTAAACTATATATATACATACAAGAATATAGCGATGTCCAAGACCAGAAGCCAATAACCCCGTGGTAATAGTACATCTTATAACGGGACCAATTCAACCTTGTAACAAAAAGTTGATAATTTTTGTAGATAACTGTGACATGATATAAGTACTAATAGCTTTTGGATGTGTGTTTGTTAATGATGTGCACCACAGCCATATTATCAGAGAAGAATTGAATGCGCTTGTTCTTCAACTGCCGATGCCAAATTTCAATTGCATGCACAATTGGTAAGAATTTCCGTACAGTTATAGGATAGGTAAGCCATCAGGTGAGAATTCATGACAGAACCAATGAGTTCCGAAAAATCCCCCCACACCAAAATTGCTAGCATCTGTGTACATCTCCAGAGATTCTGATGTAACAAATTTTGTAAGAAGAAAAAGAGCTCGTCCATTAAAATTATTGATGAATAAAACCCAAGCAGCGATGTCAGCTCGAGCGTCCAGGTTCAGCCGTCTATAGTGCTGAGGCTGAGGATTAGATAGTCCTATAGTGAGATCTATCAGACGTCGTAGTGCTGAGGATTAGATAGTCCTATAGTGAGATCTATCAGACGTCGTAGTGCTGAGGATTAGATAGTCCTATAGTGAGATCTATCAGACGTCGTAGTGCTGAGGATTAGATAGTCCTATAGTGAGATCTATCAGACGTCGTAGTGCTGAGGATTAGATAGTCCTATAGTGAGATCTATCAGACGTCGTAGTGCTGAGGATTAGATAGTCCTATAGTGAGATCTATCAGACGTCGTAGTGCTGAGGATTAGATAGTCCTATAGTGAGATCTATCAGACGTCGTAGTGCTGAGGATTAGATAGTCCTATAGTGAGATCTATCAGACGTCGTAGTGCTGAGGATTAGATAGTCCTATAGTGAGATCTATCAGACGTCGTAGTGCTGAGGATTAGATAGTCCTATAGTGAGATCTATCAGACGTCGTAGTGCTGAGGATTAGATAGTCCTATAGTGAGATCTATCAGACGTCGTAGTGCTGAGGATTAGATAGTCCTATAGTGAGATCTATCAGACGTCGTAGTGCTGAGGATTAGATAGTCCTATAGTGAGATCTATCAGACGTCGTAGTGCTGAGGATTAGATAGTCCTATAGTGAGATCTATCAGACGTCGTAGTGCTGAGGATTAGATAGTCCTATAGTGAGATCTATCAGACGTCGTAGTGCTGAGGATTAGATAGTCCTATAGTGAGATCTATCAGACGTCGTAGTGCTGAGGATTAGATAGTCCTATAGTGAGATCTATCAGACGTCGTAGTGCTGAGGATTAGATAGTCCTATAGTGAGATCTATCAGACGTCGTAGTGCTGAGGATTAGATAGTCCTATAGTGAGATCTATCAGACGTCGTAGTGCTGAGGATTAGATAGTCCTATAGTGAGATCTATCAGACGTCGTAGTGCTGAGGATTAGATAGTCCTATAGTGAGATCTATCAGACGTCGTAGTGCTGAGGATTAGATAGTCCTATAGTGAGATCTATCAGACGTCGTAGTGCTGAGGATTAGATAGTCCTATAGTGAGATCTATCAGACGGCGTAGTGCTGAGGATTAGATAGTCCTATAGTGAGATCTATCAGACGTCTGTAGTGCTGAGGATTAGATAGTCCTATAGTGAGATCTATCAGACGTCGTAGAAAAGTATGACATGGATTGACTACTGAATAAGCAAAATTCAGAGGGCCAATAAGGCCAATAAGGGCCAATAAGGACCAATAAGGGCCAATAAGTTGATGAAGCGTCACCTTTCTATGATTTGACATAGCAAGTAGCTCTCTTTTTAGCTTAACCAACTTATCCTGAGGCACCCTTATTTCCATGGAATCTGAATCTAGTTTCAAACCGAAAAATGTTAAGACTGTTGTGGGAGCAACTGTCCTATCCTCTTTGAGAGGTACCCCTAAAGATGCGGCTACCTCACAAAATGTGGACAGGCCGTGTTTGCATTCATTCGTGTTAGAGCGTCCTAAAAACAGGAAATCATCTCGGATGTGAACACAACCTTTGACCTCAAATCTATTTTTAGGATCCTATGTATAGAAGTACTAAACTTTTCAAATAATTGACAGGAATAACTCAAACCCATGGGTAAGGTTTGATCATAGTAAAACTGGTTACCAACTGTAAAACCTAACACCTCATAATCCTCAGAATGAATGGGAACAAATGTGTATGCATGTTCAATATCCGTTTTTGCCATTAATGTGCCAGCTCCAAACTGTAGTATATACTGAATTGCATCATCGACTGACTGATATGAAACGGACCTATACTCTGGTGGAATACCATCATTAATTGAACTACCTGGTGGGTATGACAAATGCTGTATTACTCTGTATTCATTGGGTGCCTTTTTTGGAACCAAACCTAATGGGGATACTTGTAACTTTGGCATTGGTAATTTGTCAAAATTCTAGCCGCTAATACTTCCTACTTCCTTGTCTATTTTTCCTGCAAAATATCTTCCTTAACCTTCCCAGACTGTAAATTTGAACAAAGACGGGTTTTCCTCTCCCTTGTAAAGGGAATGCGGAAGCCGTATTTAAAATCTTGCAGCAGAAAGTCTGTGTGTAACCTTTCAGGATAGAGTTCAGCTTATCGACCGGACGTGGGGGCTCAAGCTCACGCCACAACCGAAAGGACTTATCATATGCAATTGCTGCTGAATCACCTGATTCCTCAGCTATGGCCTGTATACGCCTAGCATGCTGGAATAACTGGTTTCCCCGCATGAAAACAATTTAACCACTGGCCTATCGTGTCAATCTTTTTTGTTGAAGGCACTTTAACGAGTGCAAGTGACCCATCATGCGCTTTTATTTCATCATGTCATTTTGTAGTTTTATTGATATTTTATAAACACTTGAAATACAGTGTTGAAATTTTGCATAAACATCATAAAAAGGATTAATAAGGATTAAGTAACATCCAATTATATAACTTATAATCAAAGTTCTTAAACAAGCATACTCTACTTTTAGCAAATACATTGTGATCTTACAGTTATTCAAGAACCATGCATAACTTTTAATTTTCTTGAACTTGTCGATTCAAGTATCAATGTTTATAATTACTTTTGTGTAATGTTTTTTTGCTCCTTTAACAACAATACGTTAATGGATGCAAAAACAGAAATCACATGGTACATGTAGTTAGAAATCATCATACATCTATTAAAGCGTATGTGTGTTATGTCTTTGCTGAGTTGGTTGGGGTATGGGCAAGATTGTTTGTGCTTGTGAGAGAGGAGACATGAACTAGTATGCTGATATGCACCAGTACGCTGTTGTTATCAGTTTATTTACCTCACATTTACTATACACTGTCAAGTAGCATTGGTACTAACCTGTATACACACAGATAAACGTAACACGCGCACACAGGTGATCACATCTTAACATTTGGCAATAAATAAAGATTACCAGACATAACTTAAACTGTATTATGCAGCTGTTTCGTCCCCCTATGACTCATCAGTGATGTCAGGGGCCAAAACGTTGGAAATAAATGAAATGAACATAATTTATAAATATTTAAATATATTAGAAAACCTTGGTCGACTACCGCTAATTTTTACTAAATCTGTAACTTAACAATTATTTTTAATTACAGAGCTGCATAACTTTGATGTATTGTTACTATTGTAATAATTACTCATCTGGCGTTAAAAGACTCTAAAATTAAATCTTCTTCCCTCTGTACTTAATAAAACTACATATGCATTGTGCATGTAATGAATGTAATTACACTAACATGTAATTTCTACAGATTTTTTCTTTTAACAATTGTCATTACTATTAATAAACACCAACAGTTAGGCATACATGTATTATAAACAATGTGATAATATTCCCAATATCTACACATACATTTTCATCTTACCCAGTACAAAATCGCTGTATTCGTCATAAAATCTGATATTTATATTTCATATTCGTTTTTAAAGAGTCATTGCCCTTTTTGGTAGCCTCTTCTGATCCTGATTAGCTGAGACAATAGTTGGCTATTACTTTAGTTCGAAGGGTCTGCCATTGGTGATGCTCTCATGGAATGGTACCTAGAGAATAAGGGCATGCTGTATTATACAATCCATACCTCATATCAGGGATGGACTTTATTATTCTTTCTTCCAGTAGATAAATAGAGGATATTTATCGGGTTCCTGTCGGATACCAAATATATTTCATAAGTACTAAAATATATGTATATGCTGCAATACGAGTGAAATATAACTCAAACCCATGGGTAAGGTACGATCATAGTAAAGCTGGTTATCAACCGTAAAACCTAATGAGGTTATTATGAATTGGAGGAATACCATCATTAATTGAATTACCTGGTGGGTATGACAAATGGCGTATTACTCTGTATTCATTGTGGGCCTTTTTTGGAACCAAACCTAATGGAGATACTTGGACTTATCATATGCAATAGCTGCTGGATCACCTGATTCCTCAGCTATGGCCTGTATACGCCTAGCATGCTGGTATAACTGGTTTCCCCGAACCCATGAAAACAATTTAACCACTGGCCTATCGTGTCAATCTATTTTGTTGAAGGCACTTTAACGAGTGCAAGTGACCCATCATCTATCTCCGTGGTAAACCTCTCTCTGCTGTCTTTCCCTGGGTTCATTAAGACACATAGGTCAACAAATTCATCAGATACAATTCTGTTTCTGATTTTAGGGTCTAGCCCAAGGTCAATTGGTTTGGTGAGGTTTCTTTTTGTACCAGAACAGTCCTGGGTATACTCACTGGTGCTGGAGCTCAATATCAAAGCTGTTAACTGGGTCAGACAGACATCTGCCCCTGGTGTAGCCGGTCCTGTTGGAGGATGGGATGTTGGGATGGCCGCTGTGATACATGATTGCATAATGGCAATCAAATCAGGTGTGGGTAGTACCGGTGGCACCACAGGTGTAGTCTGACTGGTGGTGACACATGTGGCTGTTAGCTTTGTATGGACATGTACCTGTACACGCCGCCGTTAGCTAGGTGGCCTGGATGCCATTTCAGCTTAGAGCTGGTAAACTACCACTGCAACATTAAAAGGGGGTACAGGGATAGTACATAGATGTATGTGTTAAGCTATATATCCAAGTCACACACCAGTATTGATATTAAATCAAATTATCATGCTTAGATGATGTAGCATAGTAAGAAACTAAATGCATCTCCATAATATATTACATATGTAGCATGAAATATAGCATCCCTGCTGGATCACATGAATGTGTAGTTGACCTATAGGTCTATAGAGCTACATTGTACTTCCAAAAGAAGCCCTGCATATAAAATGTCAAAAACCAACAGCTAAACCATAAATGTGATTCAATGTCAAGGTTTACGATTTTATAAGTAACCACTATCGTTACCTGTGTCTTGGTCTTTTCTGCTGTCGCTGGTTATGGCGCCAAATGGACAATGTCCAGGCCTGGGACTGTAGCCAGAATTTCCGACGATCTTTAGTCAGCTTGATATAACACAGTTTATCAATCGATCGAGTCAAAATGTAGTTCCACTCACACTACGATTCCTGAACCACTTGCGAGAAATATCTTGTGATAAATAGCTGCCACTTAAACTTGTGTCGGATTTTTTTTTTTTTTGTAAACAGATTAGCTGCGCATGTGTGTTGCATCCCAATATACTTGTGGATGTATATGCCAGTACGAGTTTCTTCCCTTGTCCCTAACATTAAAAGCGGACTAACCTTGATCAGTGCTAAAAACATTTACGTTAATAACATAAATTAGCCTTTAATTTTACTGTAAAACTGTTCAAGTTTCTATTAAATTCATTAATTAAAGTGAACGACGAAAATATTACTGCACCAAAAAAGTGCGGGAATTCGTAGCGTGTTCTACTGACGTCACGCTTGACAACAAGACTGTGCCCTATTTGGAATGGGTTCTGCTTTTGTCTGGTTATAAAATTGTTATCCATTGCGTTAGTATGTTGGTAAATTTGTGCACGTACTAAAGGAGAACAAAACAACCACTTATTCTACCGTCGCTTCATCCCTGCAGCAGTAAATAGAAAACACCACTTTGATTGGTCAATATCAAATCTTTACTAAAAGTTATATCATCGAATGTGACATTTCGTATATTGTCACCCTAGTACTATTCTTTTCATAACACTGATACATTTTGATATTTCACCGGTAAACGTGTAATAAATAAGATCTATCACATCATCATGTGATTGATTATTTGTTTATTTTTGCCTTATCGTAGGTTCATCAACAACAGCAGTAGTGGTGAACGCTGGACCACAAACAGTGATCGGCGCCGGCATTCTTCGGGAAGCCTCGGCCAGATGTTACTGTCCCCATTGTCATGCGGATATTATGACGTCAACAACATACACCGCTGGTAACTTGGTGTGGATCTCCTTCATCCTTATGTTCTTTTTCGGGTAACTGTTTTATTTTATACCCACTTAACTCGTTCGCTGAAATATGATCACTTCTACTGACGGGTAGCGATTGCATTCCTGAAAACGTCGGTGTTTATGTTACAAGCATGCATTTCTCTATGTGTATAGTTACTCTGGACTTTCGTCATATTTACTTATACGCCGTCGAAACTTACACAAATGCATTTAAGTTTTATGTTCCAACAGACACCTTAGTAAGCAATTACGAAGTTCTCGATACCTCGCCTGACTCTAACAATTTACTCTCAAACCCATCTCTATTTTACCAACTCAACAAACTACTCATTCTGTTTACAACAGGTAAACAACTCACTCACTCACTCACTCATTCACTCACTCACTCATTCACTCACTCACTCACTCAATCAATCAATTAATTAATCCACCCCCTCATCCGCCCGCTTACTCACTCAATCAATAATTCATTCATATAGCTTCTCGCCCACCCACCAGCTCACTCCCTTACTCCCTCCCTCCCTCCCTCACTCACTCACTTACTCACTCACTTACTCGCTCAATCACCCATCACTTACCCGCCCACTTACTTACTCACTCATTCACGCAATCACACAATTACTTACTTACTCACTTACTCACTCAATCACCTATGACTCATCCGCCAGCTTACTCACTCACCCGTCTACTCATCTATTTGCTCACTCACTCACTCACTCACTCACTCACTCACTCACTCACTCAATTAATTAATACACCCCCTCGTCTGCCCGCTTACTCACTCAATCAATAATTCATTCATATAGCTGCTCGCCCACCCACCAGCTCACTCCGTTACTCCCTCCCTCCCTCCCTCCCTCCCTCCCTCACTCACTCACTCACTCACTCACTCACTCACTCACTTACTCGCTCAATCACCCATCACTTACCCGCCCGCTTACTTACTCACTCATTCACCAATCCACTCATGCATTTGCTAACCTACTCACTTACTCACTCACTCACTCACTCAGTCACTCAATTACTCACTCACTCATTCACGCACTCACTCAATTACTTAATCACTCACTCACTCACTCAATCACCTATGACTCATCCGCCAGCTTACTCACTCACTCACCCGTCTACTCATCTATTTGCTCACTCACTCACTCACTCAATCAACCACTTACCTGTTCTCTCACTCATCCATTAATTCACTCACCGGCTTACTTACTTAATCATTATAATTTAATAATCCACTCATGCACGCTCATTCATTCGTTCAGTCACAAACTTATTTATTGCCTCATTCATTTATTCAAGAAAAATTAATGCCCACAAGTGATACCATTGTTTATTTGTTTTGTATAGATTCTGGCTGTGCTGCTTCATCCCGTTCTGTGTCGATGGTTGCAAGGATGTGGTCCACAACTGTCCAAACTGCGGTGCCGTAGTAGGCCGTTATAGTCGGATGTAGAGCCGGATGGTCGACCGGAAGTGGGGAAGGGTACATGGCGCGCTCAGGCGGTGTTGACTACAAGACATACTGAAAGAATCTTGATTGCAAACAAAATACACACAGTTTTAAAGTTATTATTTATGTAATTTCTGCGACTAACTTAGTTATTGATGGTGTTAGACAGCGTCCGTTTATACTGATCTACAGAATCAGTGCAGAATAAGAATTTCCTGAGACTTTGCACCATTTCTATGATTTGTATCTACGTTGCAAGGCGTAATTATTCGCAATGTTATTCTGACGCTTTTTTATATCACGGCACTAATTTCGATTATGTCTAAGTTAAAATAACATTATCTTCAGTGATCATACTTCAAATTTGCCATATTTATTTTTGTTATATTGTGATTACAATTGAAATATAAATTACATTTGATTTACCACCGACCGTTATCGAGTTCTTCAATAAAGCCGTAGATGCATTGCACGGTAGTCTAGTGGTAGGAGGCCGGGCTCGTGACCGAAGGGTTGTGGGTTCGAGTCACGGCACTGTGTTGAATCTTTGAGCAAGATAGTTTCATCCGCTTGTTCCAGACTACTCAGCTGTAAATGGGTACGTGGTTGGGCAGTGCTGGCATTGTTGAATGCTAGATGTGAGGGCATAAATGGCAGCACCGGCTGTATGCTCCCCAGGGGGTTGAGACAGATATTGGCTGGTTGCAAAGACGTTACGTGTATAACCACGGTAATAGTTTGTAAACCGCTTTAAGACGACCTACGAACTAGGTTGTTATAAAGCGGTATATAAGAACCTCGATTAATTAATTAATCATATTGTTATCTATGTGTTAAGATTACAGGAGTACCGATCATAGCATCGCAATAGAAGGACCCGTCCTATATAAGAAGCATTATTTAACATGAATCAATGTTGCGCTATCCATGACGTTATAGCATAAGAAAGAATATTAATATATCTAAGGGAGATAATGCAATTTACATGGTTTTTAAATCTTCTTTCTATCGCAACCACTATAGGTTTCCTAACCTTCAAATCATCGTGTAAACCTGTTCAATCTTTTAATTATGACGTCAAGAAACAATGCCTTGCCACGAAATCTTTCACTGTGACGTCATAATTCACGGCCTTTGTTTCCCAAATCAGAAACACGAGTTATGTATTCCCAAGAGAAACATATGGCTTTCTAGATCTAATATCTCAAATTTGCGGGAGAAAAAATGTCCCAAAACTTTTGTTTAACGTCCTATTAACAGCTAAGGTCATTTAAGGACGTGCCTCCATGTGTGTAGTGTATGCGTGCTTGCGTGTGTGTGTGCAGGAGACAGGGTATGTTGAGGTGCTTGCTTCCTTGTGATAGCGCGGATCTGATGCCGACTTTATAGTGCTTTCTTACTGAAATGCCATGCCAAAGGCACCCAGCATAGCGTTCCGCCCGGTCACATTATACTGACAACGGGTGAACCAGTTGTAGACATGCCCCTAAATGCTGAACGCTAAGCAGGGAATACCAGCTACCATGTTTAAGGACTTTGGTGGTCAAGTTACTGTTATATCTACCATATAACTTATAATATTGTTATATTGATCAGAAAACGCTCACCAATGATTCGGAAAATACACGATCATTAAATCCTCGAAAGATTTGTTTTTAGGAAAATGCTATAGATAATCCTGATCAAATGGCTCATTTTTTTGTATTGAGTTGCCCCAATATTCTGGCTTTTATGAATAGAGAATTATACGCGACGATCATGATTATCGTTTGATATTATCTCCAGTTATCGCATTGTGATGGCTACAGTTTTACCATCTGAACCGTCTCATTAAATACTCTCTTCTGATCTGAAAAGGAAGGTATCAAAACAATACGTGCTTTAGCAGGCTTTTAAAGAAAACAAAATGAAATTTCCGATTGAATTAATAAAATAATGTACTTGCACGGATTTATAAAACAATACGGCCCCATTATATTTTATAGAAACACATATGATATTGTTTGTTGTTGAGATAGGAAATCACGAACTTAAATACATCCTACTGTACGCATTGTACGTCACCGTGTCTTTATATAATTTTATTTTATTTATTTCTAGTAATAATGTAATAACTCAGGACTGGTAACAAAAACGTTGATAACTTTGTACTTTTTCATGGTCTCAATGTCAATCTGTGTGCTCGTATTTTCCCGCGATTTATCGATTTCGAGTTTGAATAACGGTTTCATTAGACTTCGATCTTTCTCTTGTTGTTTATAACGTACATCTTAAGCTGATCTCACGTGAACGTTTATAACAAATAACTGTTGTAAGACTTAATTGTTGTGTCTGCTATATTATACCATAAGGAAAGTAAAAAGAAGACAGTTGGTCAGGCTCACTATACATGTATGTGCGATCTTCTGTATTATAACGGTTATTTTTTTCTTTATTTAATGGGGTTGGGGTGATATTTTGATGAGCATTTTATTGCAGAGAAGGTTGAACATTTAAACAAATTAATTTCATGTATCAAGATGCACATGATTCTACTTATTTAGAGAACGATGAATAATGTATTTGGAGATAAATGGAATAATAATAAGTTGAAAAAAGTAAGGCTAGACAAAGCATTATTTAACGTCAACGTCACATAACAAAAATATACAATAAACTATACAGCGTCACGTGACAAAAATAAAGACTACCTACACAGTTTCAATATAATGTGTCACAAAAATAAACTCTAAATTTGAGAGTATCATGTGACAAAAATATACACTACATAATAAACGTATGATGCGACAAATCTCAATGATACCGCGACCTGTGAGAAATGTCTTAATTAAGCAAAATCCAGTGACATATCTGATCTTCACAGATTCCTGAAGAAAAGATTAATTAAACAACATCTTGCAACACAATTAAACAATACCGCCTCATGCGAAAGAATTAAAATATACAGTTTGCAGACACACACAAAAAAGATAACAATTAGAAAAAAGACTTAATTGTACACAAAATCATGTTACAAGACTAAACTATACACTCTCCTGTAGCGATACAGACAGCATTTCACTATACTAAATAAACTACACAATCTGTTTATAAACAGATGCCTGTGCAAATATAGATACCTCGTTATCAATCTTATTTTGTTACCAATCCTACAAGACTCTTGAGAGTGTCTGCTGTGCGATCACGAGACTACACAAAGGTGATCTCGTGCACGCTACATGCACGCGCAATACCCATTCACAGTGAAACAACTTGGTGCCATTACGTTATATAATTAAAATTCCTTCGCTACAACTGTTCCTTAATTCAGTCGACTGCTGGGGATGACTTTTAAACAGCAATGAACTTGTACCAATTGATAGGGATAGGAATAGCCAAAACGGCACTGGTTTGTCTCCATTTTCTTTTCTATCCCATTCTTTCTTTCAGAATTATCGTTAAGTTGTGGACGCGGTTGGAGAAGTGCCTTCTATCAAATAGGGACAAGATGTGCGTGTGTAAACCCTTCTGTGTAGTTAAGTTCAATATCAGGCACGGGGATTCCTTTGCATCCAGACGTTTTTGCACGTGAACGCAGTCTACTATAGAAATTGCACAAGCATTTTTTCCCTGTTGTACTTAAAAAAGCGCATGCGCAGTGACTAATATACTGTAGTTCCTAGCAAAAATAGTTGAGACCTATACGTGTATCCCTAATTGCAGTTCCGGTGCGTAATGGAAACGAACGATTTTACATGCTTAAGTGTTCTAAATGGATTTTACTAAATTGACTAAAATGTACCTTTTAATGTGTATTTTACTAGCGCAGCTGTGATTAAGATTTTCGGTTTTCACCGGGTACTTATATAAGACATCGACGCGGAAATTACACTTGGTTATTTTAGTCCAGTCAACATAGTGAGAAGATTTATTTAAGTTACTTCTATAAAGTATGACTGTGAAAGTGACGGTCTTGATAAGTTTGTATTTTTCTCATTCTTTCTATATTTTCACCTTTCCTGTTTTCCTATCGTCGTTCTTTTTCATATTTTGCTGTATGCATGGATACAGTTTTAGCAGAAAAGAAAGGTTAAGGTGTTATGCTGTTTAAAGTATAAATTAAAGATAAAAACAGAATTGCTCAGCATTGATCAAGCGAAGAAGAAGAACTGGATATCATGCTTTTATCCGGCTTAAACTATTTTCCAAAATAAATTCTAAGCTAAATATTGATATATGACGGTATTTGCGGAAGTTTCAATTAAATGTACTTACAAATCTACAACACTAATTCACAGAACATATCCCTTTAAATTCATGCGTCGGATCATTAGAGTTGGGCAACGTTCCAAATATTCATATTGAATACTCGTTAACATTTCTGAACGGACCATGTAACGTTCATGATACTGCAATCGATTTGTATTGGTCGAACAACAACTGATTGGGAGTTAATATATTTTAAACCAATCTACTTTCGATTTACCTTCCTTTGATTTATACCGAAACTGACCAATCAACGGCAAGTTAGGTCGTAAATTACTTAACTCCGGTACTGCTACCGTTCTGACATGGCACCCCGCGTGTGCGCTAACGTCAAGCGTCTGCATGACCCGTGCACGTGATTATATGTAAATCATGGCTTGAACGAAGGACTGCAGGTTTAACAGAACACGGTGTTGAACATGACAGGACACAAGGTAAGATACATTAATTAACCACCAAAACGTTTCATTTTTTGTGGGATTATCCAAAGTCAAGTGTGTCTCCGGAAATTAGTATAAATGTGTGTTCGGCCGTTGGTTCCAGTTTTATTTGTCACAGGGAGTTGGCTTAAGTTATTTTTTCTTTTGTTTTCTTTTAGAGTTCATTGCTACACGCTTTAACTTTATGTTATTTATTTTTTTATGAGAAAACTTCAAATAAAACTCAAAATATACTCTTGTCTAAATAACGGTCTAGACCACGTTACGCAGCAAATAGAACTATAAGAAATTATTTTTCTATAAGAATATCGAAACCATACAAGTGACCTAGCTCCTGTATATATCCTGTATGGGGTATATTTTTAGTTTTCTGAGGAGATGGCCACACGATCAAATATAATTATATGATTTATTACATGATAACAATTGATTAAGATTGTGGATATCGGTACCGATTTGGAGAATAGTCTCGGCGTGTAACACGTACAGTTGTGCACTGAAGCAATCGTCGACCTGGCCATTGTTTAAGGGGTATTGTACGTAGTTTGTGTGTATTTGGAAATCCGTTTACGAAAACCGACCTTTAAATTCTTCAACAAGTGATTACTAGCTCTAGATACCGCTAATGAATAGCTATTGATACACACATGACTACACGTTAAACGTTACAGAACACACATTGCCCATACTTCAACTGAAACTTAACGGGAACAGGTACTTTAAATAATGCAGATATCTGAATATTTTGATTAATTTTTTTCGATTTCATGTACGTATGAAACTTATGCTATGGCATAATCAAGACGAATTATCAGTTTAAGTTGCAATCATATACTGTGCTATATCAATGCAAACAAGTGTAATGCTGTTTAACATCACACCCCGTTGGAGATTATGATTCGGTAGGCGGGAATTAATTACACGTGTAAATAAATAGTCCCGGATCTAGATTGTGTATACATTACTTAGACGAATTTGTGGATCTGAACCGTGAAAAGACAAGACCGTTTTAAACCCCCTGATCAGCTGATTAATTCAGCCTGTTGAAGGTCAAGGTTACTACAGGCCGTATTAACTTAATGCTGTATTGATATAACATTTTAAAACCTGCTGAATTTTTCATATTTATCTTAAATTTAATTCAAAAATACGTGTTTTATGATTTCTAATCATCTTCATCAACTAAAAACATGATTTAGATAATTAAATTTCTATTTATTAACGAAATAAATTTGGAAGATTGATATGATACATGTACGTAATTAGCTTAAAAGGCCTAATACAAACTGACCAAGCGTATTTGATTATGTATAGGTGTAGTGCTGGACTGGTGTATGTATACTTAAAACATATTTCGTTGTTATTAAAGAATGGATTGAACTGTATCATTGACGTATAACTGTACTACGTAGTATTAAGGGCATGATAGTGCGGAACAATTTGCAGCTTTAACGCTTTAAAGCAATTGTGTATATGCTGTTTAATCCTCGGAAACTGTTATATCGCAAACACCAGCGTACACCCTATGTGATTTAAAGTAATACTTGTGTTTCACATTTTAACGATTAACGGTCAATAATTTTATTCAATGTTTTTCTTCACTACGGCGATCTGACTCTGGTATTACAAAAATCTCAAACTTGAGTGCTAAAATGTTCATACATCAGACGAGTCTTGTTTCAGAATTTTATTTTTATGATTTGAGGTGTTGAACTTATTGAACTGTGGAATATTTTGATCGGTGATATTGCCGTATACACAAATATAATACAAAAGTAGTATTACATTTGTAAGGTACGTGTAAAAACTACATATCATCCGACAAGCGACTTTAAGGATCCCTACCCCACTCAGGTAAAGTGCTAGGAAAATCCACTGTAGTTATTTCGTAATACATGTACAGTAACCTCCCCTTAATTTCGTTTTGAATAAATGTGGCGGGATCTCGCCAGGGTGCTAGCTTTGGCCCCGGTTATGTAGTTGGTTAGAACAACAGGCTAATTTACGAATTCCTGGTCGGGGTCTGTTGCATTTTAGCACTAAGATTAAGAATACTATTCAGTTTTGTTTATTTCATTTTAATGATTTTTTATTTTTCATAAAAGTTCCGAATNATTTTTTTTTTTTTTTTTTTTTTTTTTTAATTCATTATTACTGCCGTTTCCTGTGCGGCGTTACAGCTGGCAGTGTTACTGTCATCATTAACATGTCATTTGTTTTCAGGGTACGCGAATCCCTCATCTATCAGATTATATTTTTGTATTGTATACGTGTATGAGGATAGTGTCGATAAGTTGTACATGTACATTGTAATCCAGGCCCCGTGATCAAGAATCCGTACTCAATCACGGAGTCAGATTTTGTGCTTAAGCCCAATGTCTTATTCCAGTGATAAATTATTGAAATTTAACATCTTGTCAATGGTTTTGAAGAATTTGGTAAGGTCTTAAGGCGGAACAGCCCTTTTCGACGTTTACACTCGACTTTTAGACCGTATCGGTATATAATAGTGTAAGCCAGCTACAAGAAAGTATACTTGAGCACAGGACCCATGCTTGAGCACGAAAACGGACCCAGATGTATTTTCCGATGACAATAAATAGACTTAAGCTGATTACAACCTTTACAACATGTTTAACTTGACCACTCGTAATCTCGAAATACCAATTGTAGCTCTGACTTATGTTCTCAGCACCTCAGGAATATGTCATGATGAGAAGGCTTTGTACCCGACATATTGTGGATGATGCGAGACGACTAGTTGCATCCTTTGTTGTACATAAACACAGTTTTGCAACAGTGTAACAGTATTATTGACAGTATCTACTTTTAGCCTTTAGTTGAGCGTTCACCCCTGTGAGGAAGGCTTTGGGTTCTGTCCCCTGGCCGAGACATACCAGAGTCTGTCAAAATGGTAGTTTCTACTCCTGCTTAACGCTTAGCAAATTAGGAGTGGGACGACTGGTTCGCCCGTATTCAGTATAATGAGACCGGGTGGGGCGTCCTGCTGGGTGTCTTCGGCAGTATATTTCAGTGAGGGAGCACTATAAAGTCGGCATCAGTTCCGCGCTATCACAAGGAGACAAACACGAACATATCGGCGCCTCCCAAAACATAAACGCATACACTACACGCATGCATCTTACACACAGGGGAGGCCGTCCTTGAATGACAACAGCTGTTGATAGGACGATAAACAATACTGAACCAATCTACCAATTGGTCAGTTCAGTTCTTTTTAACTGAAACCAATCAAATAGCTAACCGCGTGCCTTCAATTTCACTATGACAAAGGGTGCAGAGAGCTTAAGTGAGCGTAACCCCTGGAATTTAAAGGATGGAAAATTCTTAACTTCATCGACCATGTTTCATTATAAGCTTCTGTATCACTTCATTTGCAGTCTCGGGTTATGCCTCTATAAATTGTAATGTTTTAAACTTGATGTTCGGCAGTCTGCAGGAGCTACATGAACTTATGAATCGATTCTACTCTTCCGCTTTTCTATAGCAAAATCCAAAATAACTTCCGTGAATAATTAGTTATACTTGTTCTCCTCTCAAACTACTTAAAAGCGGAAAATTCATTCATAACCACAAGTTACAGGCGATTCAAAGTATCTCTTCGGGAGCGATGTTAACCGTGCCGTGTTTTAGCTACATGTGATATTGTTTTTGTTCATTATTTGTACAATATTATAAGCTTAAAGCAAAAAACATTCTGTACTAAAGTTGATAGGTGTTTACTAATGAAGAAGTGAATTATGGAAGCTTTACATATTTTTTTAAAAATAATTATTACGTATAGTATGAAGTATAAGACACCGTACAATGTTGTAAGTTCGCTAATCTGTGTCTACACAACAAATATGGTTAAGACAGAATTTTGCTTACCAGTCTAGGATAAGCATATTTGGAATGAGAGTATATCTGCTACCTAGCCTTGACGTTATATTTCATATGTGTTTAAAGGAATCCAACTAGTGTAACAGTCTCAAAAATCAAGAGATGTTGTGGGTTCGATGGTATTTGTATTACGTGTAAATAAAACCCTAGCAAACAAAACATAAATTACATTACTCACACACCCATATCACACGCCGCAAAGAACGATAATTCTTTACTTACATATATATTGCGATTCAATTAGTTATTCAGGGATCATATTTTGGATCAATTATTAAGATTTTTGCATTTGTATGGTTTCCTGATGTGTGACGGTGTAACAAAAACGATATTGACTCCATAAATTACTGGTAAAATAGCATGTTCAATAGCCCAGACTTTTAACTACTAAACTAAAGAAAAAGTTTATCAAGGAACATCTCTGTCATGGTATGTATTGTCGTTGAGTTGATAACAAATACGCAATATGTTGGAAAATTAAATCCTCACCTCGTGGTTATTTACCGAATAATTGACATCGTATGACATTGTCACTTTAAAACCCTACCGAATTCAGTTGGCAATCATATAGGCTATGGATGCCATGGTCCGATTGTTGACGTCAACATTATTATGACGTCATAATTGTTACATTGGCTACCTCTGACCCTACCGACCGATGACTTCTATTCATTCAACAAGCGCACACGATACATGCACTGCTTTAACTAAATTCTGAATAACAATCAGTTTAATTGAACTTTTTATGAGATTAACAGATTCCAAAAATGGTAAATATAGTTATTGAACTGCCTTCAGTTGGCATTCATAGGCAATATTAATGCCACCAACAGGACAATATTAATGACGCCAACAGGACAGTATTAATGCCGTCAACAGGACAGTATTAATGCCGCCAACAGGACAGTATTAATGCCACCAACAGGACAATATCAATGCCACCTACAGGACAGTATTAATGCCACCAACAGGACAATATCAATGCCACCTACAGGACAGTATTAATGCCACCAACAGTACAGTATTAATGCCACCAACAGGATAGTATTAATGCCGCAAACAGGACAGTATTAATGCCGTCAACAGGACATTATTAATGCCACCAACAGGATAGTATTAATGACGTCAACAGGACAGTATTAATGCCGTCAACAGGACAGTATTAATGCCACCAACAGGACAATATCAATGCCACCAACAGGACAGTATTAATGCCACCAACAGGACAATATTAATGCCACCAACAGGACAGTATTAATGCCACCAACAGGACAGTATTCATGCCGTCATCAGGACAATATCAATGCCGTCAACAGGACAGTATTAATGCCACCAACAGTACAGTATTAATGCCACCAACAGGACAGTATTAATGCCGTCAACAGGACAGTATTAATGCCGTCAACAGGACAGTATTAATGCCGCCAACAGGACAGTATTAATGCCGCCAACAGGACAGTATTAATGCCGTCAACAGGACAGTATTAATGCCGTCAACAGGACAGTATTAATGCCGCCAACAGGACAGTATTAATGCCGCCAACAGGACAGTATTAATGCCGTCAACAGGACAGTATTAATGCCGTCAACAGGACAGTATTAATGCCGCCAACAGGACAGTATTAATGCCGCCAACAGGACAGTATTAATGCCGTCAACAGGACAGTATTAATGCCGTCAACAGGACAGTATTAATGCCGCCAACAGGACAGTATTAATGCCGCCAACAGGACAGTATTAATGCCGTCAACAGGACAGTATTAATGCCGTCAACAGGACAGTATTAATGCCGCCAACAGGACAGTATTAATGCCGCCAACAGGACAGTATTAATGCCGTCAACAGGACAGTATTAATGCCGTCAACAGGACAGTATTAATGCCGCCAACAGGACAGTATTAATGCCGCCAACAGGACAGTATTAATGCCGTCAACAGGACAGTATTAATGCCGTCAACAGGACAGTATTAATGCCGCCAACAGGACAGTATTAATGCCGCCAACAGGACAGTATTAATGCCGTCAACAGGACAGTATTAATGCCGTCAACAGGACAGTATTAATGCCGCCAACAGGACAGTATTAATGCCGCCAACAGGACAGTATTAATGCCGTCAACAGGACAGTATTAATGCCGTCAACAGGACAGTATTAATGCCGCCAACAGGACAGTATTAATGCCGCCAACAGGACAGTATTAATGCCGTCAACAGGACAGTATTAATGCCGTCAACAGGACAGTATTAATGCCGCCAACAGGACAGTATTAATGCCGCCAACAGGACAGTATTAATGCCGTCAACAGGACAGTATTAATGCCGTCAACAGGACAGTATTAATGCCGCCAACAGGACAGTATTAATGCCGCCAACAGGACAGTATTAATGCCGTCAACAGGACAGTATTAATGCCGTCAACAGGACAGTATTAATGCCGCCAACAGGACAGTATTAATGCCGCCAACAGGACAGTATTAATGCCGTCAACAGGACAGTATTAATGCCGTCAACAGGACAGTATTAATGCCGCCAACAGGACAGTATTAATGCCGCCAACAGGACAGTATTAATGCCGTCAACAGGACAGTATTAATGCCGTCAACAGGACAGTATTAATGCCGCCAACAGGACAGTATTAATGCCGCCAACAGGACAGTATTAATGCCGTCAACAGGACAGTATTAATGCCGTCAACAGGACAGTATTAATGCCGCCAACAGGACAGTATTAATGCCGCCAACAGGACAGTATTAATGCCGTCAACAGGACAGTATTAATGCCGTCAACAGGACAGTATTAATGCCGCCAACAGGACAGTATTAATGCCGCCAACAGGACAGTATTAATGCCGTCAACAGGACAGTATTAATGCCGTCAACAGGACAGTATTAATGCCGCCAACAGGACAGTATTAATGCCGCCAACAGGACAGTATTAATGCCGTCAACAGGACAGTATTAATGCCGTCAACAGGACAGTATTAATGCCGCCAACAGGACAGTATTAATGCCGCCAACAGGACAGTATTAATGCCGTCAACAGGACAGTATTAATGCCGTCAACAGGACAGTATTAATGCCGCCAACAGGACAGTATTAATGCCGCCAACAGGACAGTATTAATGCCGTCAACAGGACAGTATTAATGCCGTCAACAGGACAGTATTAATGCCGCCAACAGGACAGTATTAATGCCGCCAACAGGACAGTATTAATGCCGTCAACAGGACAGTATTAATGCCGTCAACAGGACAGTATTAATGCCGCCAACAGGACAGTATTAATGCCGCCAACAGGACAGTATTAATGCCGTCAACAGGACAGTATTAATGCCGTCAACAGGACAGTATTAATGCCGCCAACAGGACAGTATTAATGCCGCCAACAGGACAGTATTAATGCCGTCAACAGGACAGTATTAATGCCGTCAACAGGACAGTATTAATGCCGCCAACAGGACAGTATTAATGCCGCCAACAGGACAGTATTAATGCCGTCAACAGGACAGTATTAATGCCGTCAACAGGACAGTATTAATGCCGCCAACAGGACAGTATTAATGCCGCCAACAGGACAGTATTAATGCCGTCAACAGGACAGTATTAATGCCGTCAACAGGACAGTATTAATGCCGCCAACAGGACAGTATTAATGCCGCCAACAGGACAGTATTAATGCCGTCAACAGGACAGTATTAATGCCGTCAACAGGACAGTATTAATGCCGCCAACAGGACAGTATTAATGCCGCCAACAGGACAGTATTAATGCCGTCAACAGGACAGTATTAATGCCGTCAACAGGACAGTATTAATGCCGCCAACAGGACAGTATCAATGCCGTCAACAGGACAGTATTAATGCCGCCAACAGGACAGTATTAATGCCACCAACAGAACAGTATTAATGCCGTCATCAGGACAATATCAATGCCGTCAACAGGACAGTATTAATGCCGCCAACAGTACAGTATTAATGCCACCAACAGAACAGTATTAATGCCGTCATCAGGACAATATCAATGCCGTCAACAGGACAGTATTAATGCCGTCATCAGGACAGTTTTAATGCCACCAACAGGACAGTATTAATGCCGACAACAGGACAGTATTAATGCCGCCAACAGGACAGTATTAATGCCGTCAACAGGACAGTATTAATGCCGCCAACAGGACAGTATTAACGCCACCAACAGGACAGTATTAATGCCGACAACAGGACAGTATTAATGCCGTCAACAGGACAGTATAAATGCCGCCAACAGGACAGTATTAATGCCGCCAACAGGACAGTATTAATGCCGTCATCAGGACAGTATTAATGCCGCCAACGGGACAGTATTAATGCCGTCATCAGGACAATATCAATGCCGCCAACAGAACAATATAAATGCCAACTGGACAAAACCGATTCATGTTAGATTTGCCTTTGTCCAGTAGACAGTCATATTGCCTGTGAATGCAAACTGGGAGGAGTTCAATGCTTAAGTGAAGGATCATCGGAGGCAAAAAGGATTTTTCATTCGCTACCTGTCAAAGCCACATTTTCCGCATATACGCTGGGGTAGCAGAGTACAGTAGAAATGGCTTGACCCTAAAAATAAAGGGCTTGTCTCGGATAAACATGGATAGCGGATTCATCCTGCACAACACACCTACATATATATATATATATATATATATATAAACTACATTTTGAATACGGTTTTTTTAGAAGAATGAATATTTTTTCAAAAACTGATTTCCTAGATTTAGGACTTGTGAAAACCATGGTTACCACATCAAAAAACGCCAAAAAATGCAAAAAACATGATTTTTAACCCAAAATTTTACCCACGCAAGTAGATTTTTTTTTCTTAAAACCTTTTTAAAATCAAATATCAACACTCGGTCACGGATACTCACGTTTTAGCATAGGTCGTCAAACTAGATTTTTCACAATATTTACACATGTGCTGAGTACAAAAATAGTCTACATGAAAAGCTAGCTTTTGTTGTGTAGACACAGATTCGTAAATGACCAAAAATTTTGTCTCTAGACAAATTAGATTTTTTTTTAAATGTGAAGCCCACATAGTCCAATTCGTCATGTATATGCCAATTTTAGAGCTGATTTTGTTTTTAACTTTTGATACATGTAATATTACAGGGGTTATTCATTGTACAAAAATATCACCCATGGCCACCGTTCGCTTCTGTACACTGCTACCTGGGGTTACATATGATTGCTTATGTCTCTATTTTTCAGGTCCGATGCGCTATGGCAATGAAGACTTCTTATGAACTTCTGATCTTCAAACCTTTTATCTCTTTGTGAACAAAATGGCGGGGATATCTTTCATGTATCCGACATTCTGTCTCATCTTGGTCGTAGTTGCAATATCGTCGACATTATCAGCATGCACTGCGTATAATCATTCAGATCACGTGACACCTTTATCAAATCTAAGTTCAGGGAGTCATAATTCTACGGAGTCTCAGGAAAACATCAGCCATAATGAAACACACCATCGTGTCGAGGTTTTTGAAATTCGTTACCATGACATGCGGGAACCCTTTCTTTTTACTCTCGTTGTTTTAATAGCAGCTGTTAGCAAAATAGGTAAGTTATCAATTATAAGCACATTGTTATATGATTTTTCATTTTCATTTTAAAAAATTGATAAAAACAAAAATAATTTCATATGAATAAAATATATAAATACAATATGTATAATAATATGATTATATCACAAAATGTTACTGTATACAGACTTTTATTAAACGGCGAGTTCGTTTTTTATCTGAAATAACATTTTTGTCATTTTTGTTTACAGGTTTTCATTATGCCAATAAGCTCTCGTCTATTGTTCCCGAATCATGGTAAGGATTTTTTTGTTTTAGTTAAATTTTGCAGCATGCTTTACCAATGTGTGTTTCTAACCAAAACACTATATCGTCATTATCATATCAAGTATTATGGTTGGACATTTGTGGAAATCGTCTTTATATGTTTAAGTTGTTGCATAGAGGTAAAGCTCTGAACAATTTGATCGATCACATCGTTGAAAGATATGTTTTTTTCTTTCCGGATAAAAAACCCAATATCGCTAATAGGAATAATGTAATTTAAGGTTTCAAATGTGTGCTTGTCGTCAAGTATGCTCAAGAGGGCGAGAATGTTCAGGTTGTCAAGTATGTTCATGTGTTCGGAAATTAAGAGTGCTCAGCTTTTCAGCCACTGGTGTTATCCCCACTCACATCACCAGAGCACACTAGTGCATTACAATAAAACGAAGCATCTATCAAGAAAATGCCTAAACGTGTAACAGACTAATGTGTAACGAACCTTTAAATGTAATCTCCATTATCAGTGGATGCTGATATGTTACTACTGAGGAAAGGAAAGCTAACTATGGTACATTTTAGATTGATTACTTTTGATAATTGATTATTGGATATACGTTTTTCGAGGTAGATTAATAAGTTTCCGTTTGGTTTTGATACGTTATCCGTAGGCTTCTGACTCTGTCAGCTTTACAGCCAGACCTAAGTGCCGTGCGCATGAAAACAAAACCTGCAATTCGCAGCATGTTCTTAGGATATGTACTGAAAGTCAGGACCAGTTATTAGTTGTTTACATTGATTAGAAATGTATTTACGTTTCCCTCCGTACTGCCTCTAAGTGAGAATGTTATTTCTGTTTTCAGCCTTCTCTGTATCGTCGGAACAGTGTTTGGTGCCATTATATTGTAAGTAAACATTTCTCACATTTTGTGAACAGACACTCGTATTATTGGTCCTTCATTAGCACAAACTACACGTAACAACATCACACAGGACAATATGGTCTTGAAAACACTCGTGATCAGTATGCTTGCTTTGCTATCGAGTGCATGTGAACAATAAACTTTGAATGTAAACCTAATATCGACTGATATTCTGTTGAACAATGTAACTCATCATTCACCGGCAGCTATATCGTCTGTGCTCCGACAGGAAGTGATGCGCAGAAATACGTGCGCAAAGCGTTGACAACACATAAGAATGAAGTGAGACGACGAAAATAACCCTGTCAGGAGGCTATGACTTTAATGAGATCAGTAATCATATTTTTTTCAACGTAAAGAGCAATTGGTGGCCGTATTTCACTGCACAAGAAAACACGGTTACCCAGCTTCGGTTCGGATAAGCATACACGGCTAGCCGAGTGGCATTTTTCTAACCATTTCAGCCCTAGTTATAATAACATACGTACTAGGGTACCTCTGCCCCTGTAGGTATCGCATACAACTGTTTAATACATTAAATCGTTATTATGAAACTTGTATTCAATGTCAAAAATAACAACACGATTTGTATGACGTTAATGAATCGTAAAAATGTCGTTATTAGAATGCTTTGCATCCTCTTTAGTAAAACAAAGGTTTTTAATTCCTGTTGCTATGATTTTCTTCCGTAGCTTGACAGGATCTGGCGAGGATTTACGTGCATTCTTCACCCCAGACACGTTCTTTAACTATCTACTACCTCCGTGAGTACAATGTATATTAAATTTTAGAAGTTATTGTATTTAAGATTTGAGTGTTTATGAATAATTAAGGATTAACTTGAATATAATTTTCATGTTATGGAGATACAACACAAAATACGGAGTGTACTCCATGATCTACTTCACACAATCTTTTCTCTTAGAAATGATTACGCCACTGTATCAGCCAATCAAAAGCGACGTTACAAACGGCGGCGTCATTTTTGACGTTATGAGCTGATAACATAAATGTTTAAGCCAGTGAAAATACTTTTTACAAGCAAGATTAAATTATTCACACATAAAACCTTTACAATTAACAAACTTTATTGTCCCTTTAATAATATACAAACATTTCTATTTTAAATCAATTTTAGTTGATACATGTGTATTCATGACCTCATTTTGAATACATGTCTATCTATATAATATAAAAAAATCCTAATTTTTAATAATTGACCATTAATATGATATATATTAGATAAATATTTTATTATAGTTTACAATATCAATGTAACACATATCAAAATACATATGAAATACATATTACACATTATGTGGTATAAATGTTATTACAATTGATATGATATATATATACTCATCACTGCACGACTGTGATCACGGGGTATCTTTGTCAAAATTGATTATAAACCCGCATAGGGTTAACCCTTTCACCCCTATGTAACTTTTGTAGACTCTACCATGCATTGATTTGGATGAGTCCATTATGGTATACATTGGTGAAAGGGTTAAAATAGATACCGAATACATGTTTGATTGATCGATCAGGACGATAGGAGCCGGCATTTCAGGTCACCATCGCTGAGCAAACTCCTTTGCTTCATTGTATGAAATGGAATTTTTGTTTTTACTTTAGAATCATCCTAGAGTCTGCGTTCTGTTTGTATGACAGAGCGTTTACCGATAACATTGGAACCATCCTCATATTTGCTGTCTTTGTGAGTAATTCTTTGACTTTTGGGTGGCGAACCTTGGTGTTATTAAATGTGACGTGCTGTTCCCATAATTACTCTTGCTCCCTTCATCATTCCTTTTCCCTACTACCTTTCTTTTGTTGAAGATATCTCCTTGGGTACTTTTCTGATACATATAGTATCTTACATGAGTTTCCATTTCATATGAGATTGATGAAACGAGCCTAAGGATTTTTCTATTTAGCGAACTTCTGGCGAACAAATATGAGTAATTCTTTTTATCACATAATCAAGATTTCTGGCATTTATTCGTGTAAAACGACAATTTCATACAACCTTGAATTGTAAAAAGCCACCATTTTGACTCCAGACCGTAAGTCTGTCACGTCATGTACTTGTCCTAGGCGTGACATCACAATTGAAACAATTGAAACTTACAACCAATCACAGGGCTGATAGGTCGTATAACATGGGTTAATACAGTTCGCATCATAGCTTTCGAAGACATCATCAAGGTTCTTATTTATTTCATGTTCCAATCATGGTGATTTTTTTAAAACTTATTTATTTCATGTTCCAGTCAAGGTATTTTTTCAAAACTGTTTTTATTTCATGTTCACTTTAGGGAACCATAGCAGCATGCGGTCTTGTTGGTAAGTACACGTACTGTTATCATCAACTCTACGATAGTCCAGTGTTACCATTTCTCTATAGCGCTGTTATCTAAATTATGCATAATCATCTCGAGATACAGTGGCAGAACTAATCTCGGCAAAAATAATAAATTTGGTACTAACTTGTCAGTTGAAAAATTATTCTTCATGAAAGACATATTGCAGATTGCATAAGATCGAGTGGGTGTCCTGGCGATAGTGATGTATTGTACAGGGCTGTCAATAATGTGTCTACAGAAAATCGGACAGGGCTGTCACTGATTGGTCAAAACACCAATCGATGCCATGTATTTTGTGTTATACATGTATGCTAAAAAATTATCACTAATTAGTGTAGAGCGCGAAATTGTATCGTAGCGTTAATGATAATAATAACAATAATATTCAACATTTGATATAGCGCCCTATCTAGCTAGCATAAGCCACTATAAAGCGCTTTACGGTACATAGATATACAAATAATACAATTAGCATATACAATATAATCAATACAATTTTTTGAGGAATTCGAAGGAACTGCCTTATCAGGCGCTAACTACAAGTCCTATGCCTCCTGGCTAAAACATCCCTTTGTGTGTATGCATGAGTGTGTGCTGGAGATGTAATGTGTTCTGTTTGTAATGGGACCGTGCTTTCAACGGCATCATTTATAGTGCCACCGCACTTGAATGCTACAGCACAGATACCGCAACATCCACCCCAGACTAATTTATACTCCACCTGGGTTGTTGGAGTTATGTGGGCGGGAGAAAAACACTTTCTCTGAATATCTGAATTAGTGTGGTATGCTACCTGACTCTCGCTGATTGGTCTAGAGACACCCCGAATCATATTGTTTGTGTTTTTATGTTTCAGGACTGTCGCTGATTGGTCTACAATCGGCCAGTGTTATGGAGTATGTTGGCGCTCCTGTACAACTCCTTGTATTTAGCGCCCTTGTTGTTGCGGTAGATCCCGTTGCTGTAAGTGGTGTTTTGAAATTGATATTATGAAAATTATGATAAAACGTCAATACCAAGTATGAACGTATTCCTGTGAAATTTGTTTGGAAACACGTATATACGAATTTCTCCAATTATTTGTTGATGCTTCGTTCCAGTCAAGTTACAAGACAGCGCATACGTTTCCGTATCCTTCAAGACTCTTTCATAAGTCAGTAATTTTTATAAATAATATCTCACTGTGCACTTTTAAGGTCCTTGCTGTGTTCAATGAAGTTGGAGTCAACAGAGTGTTGTATTTTCTCGTGTTTGGGGAGTCATTGCTAAATGGTGAGTCAAATAAGAGTCAATTATCGTGAGTAAGTTCTCAAATGTGAGTTAATTGTGAGTGTGCGCTAACGACAATTTGGTATAGAGTTGTAAACATAACTGTGCCATTATGCTAAATACATAACATACTTTTCATCTAAAAGGAATTTCTACGCAGCCGTGCTCGTCGTTTGTGACGACATCAATGACTTGATGAGAAAATTAATATTGTGGTGGATAAAATTAACTCGTGGTAATTTGTTATAGCATGATTACATACATGTTACTTTTGTTTGTTAATATTGCATTTAACGGATGAGAATTATCTAAGAAGCATTAGATGAACATGATTCCCGTCGATGAATTGTTTTGGAACCGCTAGTTTTAAATGTACTTGTTTCTAATCAATCGATTTCTTGTTGTGGATTTACATGATGTCAAAAGCCAAACTCGTTATGAGGACAATGATAGTATGAATATACTTAGTTAATTTGAGTATTTATTTACTTATTTATTTATTTATTTATTCATTCATGTATTTGTTCATTTATTCATCTATGTACGTATTCATCTATTTACGTATTTATTTATTTATTTATTTATTCATTTATTCATTTATTTGGTCTCAAGATGGAGTAACTGTTGTCCTCTACAACGTCCTACAAGCCTACAACCTGATCCTAAAAGAAAGAGCTATCACTGTAGAAGATGTAAGTTATCTGGTGACGTCACCGATGTCAAACAATACTATGATCAGGTTAGGGGCGCTGGTCGTCAAGGATTCAAAACCTGCTATCTAGAATCTTTCTGTGTAAGATCATGCTATCACATTATATCCTTTATTACATATTGAAATACGCATCGTTCACACTCTTCCTCTTTGGACTGGACACAATATATATCTGTAAGTGTCAATTCATGTGTGCTAGACTACGATGTCTATATACTTCATTGTAAGAAAAGAAATAATTCTGTCTTCCACTCATAATTAATAAATGATTAACTACAACTTATGATATATCATTTTTACATTTACATATATCTCGATTTCTTCTGAAATGTGATTGCTTTTCAAATCAAAGATCCTGCTCGGCGTTTTGAAGTTTGTCGTTGTGTGCTTTGGAGGTCTTGCAGTCGGACTGATCGTGGGAGTGCTGTGTTCACTGCTGACGAAATACACAAACACGACAAAAGGTAACTCTGTCAACAGAGAAAAAGGCTGTTACTTTCGGATGTATTTGTTACCACCATCTGTCTGGAGAACAACTAGACCACACTCTAATACAGTAACATATTGTAGTATTTGAAATTGTTTGCTATCTTATTCACTACTACATGTGTTTTGCTATTAGTCCTTATCAAATAAATGTACTAAAAATAAATAACCTTGCAACAATACATACATAATTTTAATAAAAAAAAAGATATTTTAAGAAATAAAATAAAATTATAAATAAGTAATACAATATGAAATTAATGTTGTTTTTGTACCTTTGTATAATTTTATTTTCATATAGTAATTGAACCTGTCGTTATATTCGGAATGGCCTATACGGCGTTTTTAGTGGCGGAGATGTTTCATTTTTCTGGGATCATCAGGTAAGATATTCGAGAGTTTCTCATTTCTTTTCTCCTTATTTCGTGTCACCTCAGTTCCTGTTATTATGTCCCCCGAAAGTTTTGGGATATTTTAGTTTTTTTACGTTTCCATTATCATCATTTGACCTGTATCTATTAATTGTTGCAGTTTGATTGGCTGCGGTCTGATACAAATGGCGTATTCACTTCCTAACCTCACCAATAAATCACAGATCACCGTCAAGTTCTTTTCTCGTGTTCTCAGGTAAGTATGGTAATTAGTTAACAGGTTCAACGTGAACAGAACACACGCTCAATACCACTTTTGTCCTATCAAATTGTGATTACGCCATATGTCAATTTTCGGTTCAAGTTAAGCGTGTTGCAAATGTTCCCGTCATATTTGTCCATAAAAGTGTTGTACAATGTAATATAATATCTTCTGTTTTATGAGTAAATCTGAGATTTAACCATGGTTGCAAGTAAGAGCGTCTGTCTTCAGTTCGGAGGTTCCGGATTCAAATGTTTGTCTGGCCGTTGCATATTTCTTTTCCCGTTACATTTAACACTCAACTAAACTTACCTAGCGAAGCTGGTATGTAAGTTAGGGGAGCGTGTGTCTTCGGGGTCAAGGACTTTGTTTTAAGAGGCGGGAATGTAGCGGGAACAGAACCTGATCAGGAAGCTCATTTGATTAATATATAGAGTCGGAAGTCCCAGGTTCAAATCGCGGTCCGATATTGATGTTTCCTTTCCAGTTACATATTAATTGTTTACCGTTTGTAATAACTTAACATCAACTGTTACTTGTTTTATCAACAGTACGACGAGCGAGATTATCATTTTCCTGTTCTTGGGTTTAATGGTGGTACGTCCGTTAAGCTGGAGCACTGCTTTAACACTCTGGACAGTGTTACTTATTACAGCCTATAGATTCTTAGGTAATGTATATACTCTCGTGTAATTTTACATATTACAGCCTATATATTCTTAGGTAATGTATATACTCTTATGTAATTCTACTTATCTCAGCCTATAGATTCTTAGGTAATGTATATACTCTCATGTAACTCTACATATCACAGCCTATACATTCCTGGGTTAAATAGATACTCTCGTGTAATTCTACATATCACAGCCTATTCATTCTTTGGTTAAATATATACTCTCGTGTAATTCTACATATCACAACCTATATATTCTTAGGTAAAGTATATACTCTTATGTAATTCCACTTATCACAGCCTATATATTCTTAGGTAAATTATATACTCTCCTGTAATACTACTTATCTCAGCCTGTAGATTCTTAGGTAAAGTATATACTCTCATGTAATTCCACTTATCACAGCCTATATATTCTTAGGTAAATTATATATTCTCATGTAATTCTACTTATCTCTGCCTATATATTCTTAGATAAAGTACATACTCTCATGTAAGCCAAATATTTGATATATCAAAGTCGGGAAAATAATTTTCCAGAAGCAGATTAATATAGAATCCAATTGGGAAAATGGCGTTAAATGGAAACATATGGCACGTCACTTTATAATTAATAGTCTACATTAATGCATGGTTTATCATTTCTCTTGTGTATTATAATTCTCACAGGGTTTACACAGTGACGTTATTCTGCTTTGATGTGCACGAGAAAGGTGTCGCGAACACTATAACAATTTCTTTCTTTTTTCAGTTGTGTTTTCCGTTTCTTCCCTTATTAATCGCTTTGACAGACACAGTGTAAGGAAAATCCCCTATGACGAAATGTTTATTATGGTAAGTACTCTACTATTATTATCATTTGTTTTGTTTGATCGGGGTTTAACGTCCTGGAAACAACCGGGATTTTATGGAAATAGGTGCATAGAAAAACACCGCTGGTAAAAGAGTAGATGGGAAAACAAAAACAAGAATAGGTAGAAATGGGGCAGCACATCAGTTTTGGTTGCTTGATATCCAGACATAGAAGAAAACTCCCAATTCTGTAAGGGACACCAAACAACACGTATCAAGGAGAGGCACGGTAGTCTAGTGGAAGGACGCCGGGCTCGTGACCGAAGGGTGACGGGTTCGACTCTTTGAGCTTGTTCCAGTCTACTCAGCAGTAAATGAGTACGTGGTTGGGCAGTGCTAGAATTGTTGAATGCTAGCTGTGAGCGCCGAAATGTCAACACCGGCTGTATGTTCCCCAGGGAGTTGAGAAAGATATTGGCTGGTTGCAAATATTCTGAAGGGGGAGAGACATAAGTCGTAGTGTACATCATGCAGTAGAATACAGCAGGCCCAGTGTTCCACCGAAAAGGCATGGGTTCTATCTAAGGGTTTATGTTTACGTACATAACCGTGGTATCCTTTAGTGAGCTTAATCAGAATTAAAAATGTACATCGAAACATGGCTTTACCGTCAACAAGGAGAAATAGGACCTATACCAAATTTGTAAATACCGCAGAACCTGTCTTTAAGGACCATTAAAACAGGCTTAATTTTACAGGGTTTCGTCAAATCAGGAGTCGATATGGTCGGGTCTCATCGCATATGATTTAGAAAAATCTTGGCATTATGAACGTATCTATATTAGATATTCACGGAAGATTTAAAATCACGAGTGAAATATAAATGTATACGTACATCTTTCAAACGAGTCAACTTATCAACAGAGTCGGAAAATGTATTTTTCACGAAAAACGAAGGATGTCAAAGGAAAGTAGCACGCTCCCTCAGAGTATTATATAGCACAATTTTCTAATTAAGTATTCAGTATTCGTATCTTCAGTAACTAGGTAGAGTAAGGCGACTTCTACTTATGAAATTTCTATATCGAACTGAAGTCGTGTTTACACCATACCGGCATTCTTATAGTTTTAACTGTAAGTCACTTAATCTTCGCGTTGGTTTACGAGGTAACAGTTACTTTAAACCTTCCGCGTAATACATAAATCTCGAATGAGAATCAAAACAACATCATTTAAATTGCGAATTCAAGTCTTCGTAAATGAAAACCTAGGGGAATTGTTTGCAAAATAAACAACTCTCAAAAATAGAGAGACTTATTACAGTATATATAACTGTGTTTTTTGCCTTAAATTAAAACCGTGCCTACTTTTGTATACAGAGCTATGGTGGTATCCGAGGAGCGGTATGTTTCTCGCTGGTCGCTCTGCTAGACAAGGATGCCTTCCCAATGAAAGACACGTTCGTCACTTCAACACTCTTTGTTATCTTTTTCACCGTCTTCATTCAGGTACGTAGTATGACTTTACATAAACCCCTTCGTCATTTTTCCTGCATGTCGCTTGCTAGAATGCTTTCTTAATATACCTGGCTATTTTTTATCTTGTCATGTTAAAATTTATGTTCTGTGTTTTCTCTCTTCCCAGGGAGCGACTATAAGGCCGTTCGTCACATTGTTGAGAGTCAAACTTGCATCTAAATCAGTCGAGGCGTCTCTAGTAGAGGAACTTATGAGCCATGTAAGTTATGTAATACCGCATTTTGTTAGCATACAGGTGTGTTTTGTTAGGTACACGTTAGTTTGATATGAGAACTCATTATAGATGCTAACCCAATTTTAACAATTCTAGTTTTGAAAATGTAGAATATTGATATATTGGTTGAATTTAGATAGTTTTCATTACGCCAATTGAATCAGGTCCAGTTAGAATTAGGTCGAAATACCACGAAATTGTTAACAAATTTAATAACTGAATAGGGATATTTATTTCCCCTTGGCGAGACCGATATTTCCCTGGTTTATACCCATATTTATCAATGAAACCGGATTTTGATTCTTTGGTAATTATAACACGGTAAAGAGTGACATGTTAGGGTGTTGTCTTTTAATCGGTAGGAAATATTGACAAAGAGATGCCGTCAACAACAGAAAAAGCCTAAAAAGATTTCGAAAAATCAGTATACAAATTGGTGAAATGCCAACTTTGCGGGATACAACTTGCTTTTAATGGTCGACTGTAAAAATAATCGTTAGGCTACACAATTGAAAAGTTTCATTGAATTATACAAAAGTCCTATTACATATAAGTTAGTTTGGCGAACAGATCATGTGTAACAAGATCGATAAAACCGTATTTGAGATCGAGTAGAAATAACCTGTCTTGCATCAAGTTTTATTCTAAACGAAATTGTCAATAAAATAAACTATCGTGATAATTCATATATATGAAATTTGAACACTTTTTGAATAGAACATTTGCTAAACATCTAGTGAATATGTTGTTGTGTATTGTTTGATCACCAAACTGACCGATTGACCGGTTACTCGGTTGGAAGATTTTTCGAGTAATTACATGTGAGTGTAAAATTTGTTCGGTTTGACAACCCTGTCACCTACTTCTAAGACTTCTGTGTTAGGGTTGTGCACCTTCTATTAATAACTTTTTGCAGGTAAACGATCACGTGATGGCGGGTATAGAAGAGATAATTGGAAATGAAGGCAGGAACTCCATGAGGGTAAGATAGAAACAGCATTACAATACAGAGGCGGTATGAAAGCGCAATTCGAAGTCAGAATTAATAAAACTACATAATAGCAAAAGCGATGTTTTCAAGGAGACTTTGCAAATGTCTCTTCTGTTTTATCGATAAAACAGATATGTTAAATGAGATTAATTTCGAGTAATGTCACGTTATAAAATACAAGAAACCTTGTTGAGACAATAATACAGCAATGAGCTTACTCACAAACGTCGATTTTCATATGGCACACGGAACTATTACTTTATTCCAATAAAATCATGATAATAAATAGACTTTGTCAACTTAAATCTAATAGAAGTATGCGGAGAGAGAAGAAATAATATCATGATGGTGGTAGTGGATCTTATTGTGCGTGCTCGCTATCATCCTAGCCAAACTCTAAGTAGACGTACATTTATATGGGTTTTTTAAATAATAAAAATCAATCGAAAACAATGTGATGTCAAATAAAAAAAACAGAACTTTGTGTTTAGGATAAGATTATAAGACAAGCTTCTGTATTAGTTCTAAGTAAGGTGAGTTCGGCTTTAAACTGCAAGTAAATACAGATATATAAATCTACCCTTGGGTCAATTATACCAAGTTTCCTAAAACAATATGGCCGAAAAGTATGTGATTTCAAATGATTAATAGACGTGTTCATTGTTTGTTTTACGACCAATGAAGTCCTATAAAGATATGGATATGAAGATAAGGTTTTGATGCAAAATTTTGTAATCGAGTTTAGAATTTATATATATCGGCGGCACAGTTGCCACTGTCAGTCAATCGATATTTTGAAACGTTCTATTTTCATGACAAAACGCTGCCATCTTGGTGTCGCGTCATTATAGGACATGTCACTGAGTGTTCTCGTGTAGGAGACGTTTCCTTCACCCTGGGCTGGTGTATACATATTTTCCTCAGTATGAGATATCCTTGTCTCATCCAGAGGTTGGGACGGTGGAGTCTCCAGTAAGAAAAAAAAACATGCATGACTTAACGTCAACAATACAATAACGTAACGTCAACAATACAATAACGTAACGCCAACAATACAATAGCGTAACGTCAACAATACAATAGCGTAACGTCAGCAATACAACAACGTAACGTCAACAATACAATAGCGTAACGTCAACAATACAATAATAACGTAACGTCAACAATACAATAGCTTCACGTCAACAATACAATAATAACGTAACGTCAACAATACAATAATAACGTAACGTCAACAATACAAAAACGTAACGTCAACAATACAATACTAACGGAACGTCAACAATACAATAGCGTAACGTCAGCAATACAACAACGTAACGTCAACAATACCATAGCGTAACGTCAACAATACAAAAACGTAACGTCAACAATACAATAACGTAACGTCAACAATACAATAATGTAACGTCAACAATACATTATTTATGCAAAAAAGTCTACAGGGTAAGAGATGAAGAAACATGCACGCCCTGGAGATGAGAGGGGAATAGCAACCATTGGGGATAACAAGCTTCATGTCGGCAACTTTAAAATCCTACCCCAAGGCTAGGACAGATTTTATTCATCTCACATGAGTGTTCCACACGTGTATTTTTCATAGGTAGGGGAGGGAGAATTGAAGTGTAATTTTATTCGTGTTCTTATAATTGGTCTTGCAAAAGCTTAATGTGGCAACTTATTCAGTGGGTAATTAATGACAATGTGTTCAGATCGCGTTTTCAGAATATGTGGGCTACAGGTTCCATAACATATGATACATGTATCGATATAGTAACATTAAATCGTTGTAATAAAAAAAAGGTTTAATCTTGACAGGAGTGGTTCTACCATTGGGATGAGAAGTATATTCGTTCTATTCTGCTGAGAGACCACGATTTGAACGAAGTGCAGTACGAAATTCTCCAGTGTTATGAAAAACTTGTCATGAAGTAAGTATCTTATTCTCAAATGTTGTGATTTCTCCTAAGATTGTTGTTGTTTGCGTGAACTCTTAGCTTCAATTTCATCCCTGTTCGATGACTTTAATGCCACATCGAAACAACACCAGACAATTTGTAGATAAGGAGTGACACAATATTGCGTCAATCCGTCTGTACATGATAAGTAACACTACATTGAGTCAATCTGTCGGTACATGATAAGTAACACTTCATTTAGTCAATCCGGCTGTACATGATAAGTAACACTCCATTGAGTCAACCCGTCTGTACATGATAAGTAAAACTACATTGAGTCAATCCGTCTGCACATGATAAGTAACACTAAATTTAGTCAATCAGTCTGTACATGATAAGTAACACTTCATTTAGTCAATCCGGCTGTACATGATAAGTAACACTGCATTGAGTCAATCCGTCGGTATATGATAAGTAACACTACATTGACCCAATCCGTCGGTACATGATAATTAACACTACATTGAGTCAATCCGTCTGTACATGATAAGTAACACTAAATTTAGTCAATCCGTCTGTACATGATAAGTAACACTACATTGAGTCAACCCGTCGGTACACGATAAGTAACACTACATTGAGCCAATCTCTCTGTACATGATAAGAAACACTACATTGAGTCAACCCCTCGGTACATGATAAGCAACGCTACATTGAGTCAATCCGTCTATACATGATAACAAACACTACATTGAGACTACATTGAGTCAATCTCTCTGTACATGATAAGTAACACTCCATTGAGTCAATCCGTCTGTGCATGATGAGTAACACTACATTGAGTCAACCCGTCGGTACACGATAAGTAACACTACATTGAGCCAATCTCTCTGTACATGATAAGTAACACTCCATTGAGTCAATCCGTCTGTGCATGATGAGTAACACTACATTGAGTCAACCCCTCGGTACATGATAAGCAACGCTACATTGAGTCAATCCGTCGGTTCATGATAAGTAACACTACATTGCGTCAATCCGTCTGTACATGATACGTAACACTACATTGAGTCAACCCCTCGGTACATGATAAGCAACGCTACATTGAGTCAATCCGTCTCTACATGATAAGTAACACTACATTGAGTCAATTTCTCTGTACATGATAAATAACACTACATTGAGTCGATCCGTCTGTACATGATAAGTAACACTACATTGAGTCAATCCGTCTGTGCATGATGAGTAACACTACATTGAGTCAATCCGTCGGTTCATGATAAGTAACACTACATTGAGTCAACCCGTCTGTACATGATAAGTAACACTACATTGAGTCGATCCGTCTGTACATGATAAGTAACACTACATTGAGTCAATCGGTCTGTACATGACAAGTAACACTACATTGAGTCAATCCGTCGGTACATGATAAGTAACACTACAATGAGTCAATCCGTCTGTACATGACAAGTAACACTACATTGAGTCAATCCGTCGGTATATGATAAGTAACACTACATTGAGTCAATCCGTCGGTACATGATAAGTAACACTACATTGAGTCAATCTGTCTGTACATGATAAGTAACACTCCATTGAGTCAATCTCTCTGTACATGATAAGTAACACTACATTGAGTCTATCCGTCGGTACATGATAAGTAACACTACATTGAGTCAACCCGTCTGTACATGATAAGTAACACTACATTGAGTCAATCCGTCTGTACATGATAAGTAACACTACATTGAGTCAATCCGTCTGTGCATAATAAGTAACACTACATGGAGTCAATCCGTCTATACATGATAACAAACACTACATGGAGTCAATCCGTCTGTACATGATAAGTAACACTACATTGAGTCAATCCGTCTATACATGATAACAAACACTACATGGAGTCAATCCGTCTATTCATGATAACAAACACTACATGGAGTAAATCCGTCTATACATGATAACAAACACTACATGGAGTAAATCCGTCTGTACATGATAAGTAACACCACATTGAGTCAATCTCTCTGTACATTATAAGTAACACTACATTGAGTCAATCGGTCTGTACATGACAAGTAACACTACATTGAGTCAATCCCTCTGTACATGATAAGTAACACTACATTAAGTCAACCCGTCGGTACATGATAAGTAACTCTACATTGAGTCAATCCGTCTGTACGTGATAAGTAACACTACATTGAGTCAATCGGTCTGTACATGACAAGTAACCCTACATTGAGTCAATCCGTCGGTACATGATATGTAACACTACATTGAGTCAATCCGTCGGTTCATGATAAGTAACACTACATTGAGTCAACCCGGCTGTACATGATAAGTAACACTACATTGAGGCAATCCGTCTGTGCATAATAAGTAAAACTACATGGAGTCAATCCGTCTATACAGGATAACAAACACTACATGGAGTCAATCCGTCTATTCATGATAACAAACACTACATGGAGTAAATCCGTCTGTACATGATAAGTAACTCTTCATTGAGCTACATTGAGTCAATCCGTCGGTTCATGATAAGTAACACTACATTGAGTCAACCCGGCTGTACATGATAAGTAACACTACATTCTATACATGATAACAAACACTACATGGAGTTAATCCGTCTGTACATGATAAGTAACACCACATTGAGTCAATCTCTCTGTACATTATAAGTAACACTACATTGAGTCAACCCGTCTGTACATGATAAGTACCACTACATTGAGTCAATCCGTCTGTGCATAATAATTAACACTACATGGAGTCAATCCGTCTGTACATGATAAGCAACACTACATTGAGTCAATCCGTCTATACATGATAATAAACACTACATGGAGTCAATCCGTCTATTCATTATAACAAACACTACATGGAGTCAATCCGTCTATTCATGATAACAAACACTACATGGAGTTAATCCGTCTGTACATGATAAGTAACACCACATTGAGTCAATCTCTCTGTACATTATAAGTAACACTACATTGAGTCAATCTGTCTGTACATGATAAGTAACACTTCATTGACTCAATCCGTCTGTACATGATAAGTAACTCTTCATTGAGTCAATCCGTCTGTACATGATAAGTAACACTACATTGAGTCAATCCCTCGGTACATGATAAGTAACACTACATTGAGTAAATTTGTCTGTACATGATAAGTAACACTACATTGAGTCAATCTGTCGGTACATGATAAGTAACACTACATTGAGATAATCCGTCTGTACATGATAAGTAACATTACATTGAGTCAATCCGTCTGTACATGATAAGTAACACTACATTGAGTCAATTCGTCTGTGCATAATAAGTAACACTACATTGAGTCAATCCGTCTATACATGATAACAAACACTACATTGAGTCAATCCGTCTGTACATGATAAGTAACACTACATTGAGTCAATCCGTCTGTACATGATAAGTAACACTTCATTGAGTCAATCCGTCTGTACATTATAAGTAACACTACATTGAGTCAATACGTCGGTACATGATAAGTAACACTACATTGAGTCAATATGTCTGTACATGATAAGTAACACTTCATTGACTCATTCCGTCTGTACATGATAAGTAACACTTCATTGAGCCAATCCGTCTGTACATGATAAGTAACACTACATTAAGTCAATCCATCTGTACATGATAAGTAACACTACATTGAGTCAACCCGTCTGTACATGATAAGTGACACTACATTGAGTCAATCTGTCGGTACATGATAAGTAACACTACATTGAGTCAATATGTCTGTACATGATAAGTGACACTATATTGAGTCATTCTGTCTGTACATGATAAGTAAGACTACATTGAGTCAATCCGTCGGTACATGATAAGTAACCCTACATTGAGTCAATCCGTCGGTACATGATAAGTAACGCTACATTGAGTCAATCCGTCGGTACATGATAAGTTACACTACATTGAGTCAATCCGTCTGTACATGATAGGTAACACTATATTGAGTCATTCTCTCTGTACATGATAAGTAACACTACATTGCGTCAATCCGTCGGTACATGATAAGTAACACTACATTGAGTCAATATGTCTGTACATGATAAGTAACATTTCATTGACTCAATCCGTCTGTACATGATAAGTATAAGTAACACTACATTGAGTCAATCCGTCTGTACAGGATAAGTAACACTACATTGAGTCAATCTCTCTGTACATGATAAGTAACACTACATTGAGTCAAGCCGTCGGTACATGATAAGTAACACTACATTGAGTAAATCTCTCTGTACATGATAAGTAACACTACATTGCGTCAATCCGTCGGTACATGATAAGTAACACTACATTGAGTTGTACATGATAAGTAACACTACATTGAGTCAATCCGGCGGTACAAGATAAGTAACACTACATTGAGTCAATCCGTCTCTACATGATAAGTAACACTACATTGAGTCAATCTGTCTGTACATGATAAGTAACACTTCATTGACTCAATCCGTCTATACATGATAAGTAACACTTCATTGAGTCAATCCGTCTGTACATTATAAGTAACACTACATTGAGTCAATACGTCGGTACATGATAAGTAACACTACATTGAGTCAATATGTCTGTACATGATAAGTAACACTTCATTGACTCAATCCGTCTGTACATGATAAGTAACACTTCATTGAGTCAATCCGTCTGTACATGATAAGTAACACTACATTGAGTCAATCCGTCTGTGCATGATGAGTATCACTACATTGAGTCAATCCGTCGGTACATGATAAGTAACTCTACATTGAGTCAATCCGTCGGTACATGATAAATAAGTAACACTACATTGAGTCAATATGTCTGTACATGATAAGTAACAATTCATTGACTCAATCCGTCTGTACACGATAAGTAACACTTCATTGAGTCAATCCGTCTGTACATTATAAGTAACACTACATTGAGTCAATATGTCTGTACATGATAAGTAACATTTCATTGACTCAATCCGTCTGTACATGATAAGTATAAGTAACACTACATTGAGTCAACCCGTCGGTACATGATAAGTAACACTACATTGAGTCAATCTCTCTGTACATTTCACATATTGCCCTTGTAGCATGGAAACACGATTCTTTGTTTCTCTGAGATTGAGCATAAACATGATAAATGGAGGAGAAACAAAGACTTGTGTTTCTCTATCAGATTGGAATACATATTTAAAAATGCCGAAAAAATCCAATAATCCAATAGTACTGACGATCAGGTTTACGCGCCATTGTTGTCGTTCGCTTCAGTCGTTTGAATCTCAGATGCAGTTGCTGTTGCCTATTTATATTTCTCGATACTAAAGTGGGTCAATTTGTCGGTACAATATGAAAAAGACAACATTGAGAAATACTTGTCTTTGTTTGACCAGTATTTCCAGCCTGATGACGCTAATAAAAGTACATTTTATTTTTATTTTAAGAACAATGTTTGCACCAATGTTCAATCGTTTATCTTTTTAATATATATATATATTTCTTTCTATTCAGGGAACACTACAAAAATCTACACATGAGTGGAGCGAAGAACTTACCCAAGGCAGCAGACACACTGTATGTATAAAAAATATAACAAAAAATATTGCTACAGCTGTCTTTTGCATGGTTTAATTCATATTGCCCACAAAAATGCTGAGGTCCACAATCCTAATTTGGTTGACAGACCAGTCAATAAATTTATATTTTAACGGAAGCAATATGCGAATCTTTGATGATAGGGGAGATAACTCTCTCAAAGTTTGGGGCATAACATGAATACATATCAATTTCGATATCTTCGTTTTTAGGAGGAACGTGGACAGTACAGCAATCATTATGCAAATACGAAGAAACAGTATCTTGCCCGTTGACGTGCTACATGAAGTGGACGAGGACGAAACAGAATCAGGTAAGCTTCTCAGAGGGGCCCGGTACACTTAGTAAAAGCTCGAAAATAAATAAAAGTAGAATCACTTGTAAACAGAAATTGCTGCCGCCGCTTGTATTGAGCGGTAGGGACGTATATGTCGACTAAAGGCACATACATTGTTATGAAAAATAATAGCTGTTGCTGATTATATGTATATTTAACTTCCACTTGAAATGAAATACACAAAGATATGAACGGATATCATATATTGAAAATACGCACTCTACAATGAGATATCAGAAGAAATCGGTGGCAAGGAGTTGCCTACATAACAATAGTATAGTTTTATTCAGATATATCTAGTGATGTTAAACGAACATATTTTATGGATAAATGAAGCTGTAATGTTTAAGCTTGTTTTTGTACTAATACATCAAAATCAAACCACCTAGCGTACACCTAGCCTATATGATATAGATTGGTTCCGATCTGCCGTGTTTTACAACGAATGTGCATTATTTATCAATTATGTACTTTTCTTGAGATGAATATCTTGGTATATGGTCCTTTTAAGGCTCATTTAACCACATGCTCATCGAAATAAAAGTCCTTAACTGGTATGTTAAGTTAAATTATGCTGAGTAATGTTTTAATCATTAAACAAGATGAATCGTAGTCTGTAGTCATTAAAAATGCACTTTGAACTCAATTCAATCTGAAAACAGTTTAATGCTTAAACATATCATCGCTCAATGGCATTAGCAACAACAGCGTTCATTTACGAAAACTAGCATATGTTAAAGTGATTTGGTCAATAGGAATGATTGCCTCTGTCCCTCATTGGTAAAGTTTTCATTTTAAATGTCAAAAGGCTGGTTTTCGCGTAACTTAATCCAAATCATATTATAACATTTATTATTCATCCGAATTTTTTCGATTTTCGATTTCCAAGTCAATGAATCTACCGTTGTAATACAAATATGACAAAAAGCATGTGTTTAGTTCGTAATACAAAATAATTTCAATATTTATAGTTAAGGCCTGTGCTATAAATATGCTAATGAAAGGAAGGGATGGATAAAGAAAGAATCATAAAGACAAGTTTTGAAGACCTTCATGATAACATATTTTGCAGATGACACAAATGTTAAATTCACTCTCGAAGCGGCGCCGTCCTCTCCCATGGAGCTACATAAGTTTTTGGATAAAAACGCACAGCAAAGACGACACAGTTTAACGGTAAGTGCAATATATTATAATGTTTTGGTTGTTGAAGAAGAAAAAGAGAACTATTTAATAGTAGGGTACTATATACTGAATAACATCTAAAAGGGTATAACATGTTATCATGATTCGAAAAACTGGGGATAACATACCATTAAATAGACGTATGTCAGCCTCCAGTCTGTTTAGTTTTAAAGCTACGTGCTAATAGTGTTCAAAATAATAATTTGAAAAAAAATCTCAGCATATGAAAGCATTTAATTAAGATTAATAGGCCACAGACTTCATGCAGTTCATAACACACAAAGGTTCTAGGACATTTCAAGCAGAAATTAATTGTATTTTTTTCTGTGATTTTTTCCTTACACACAACAAACATTTGTCAACGACATGATATAAAGTTGCCTTTTTTTCTCCAGCAAAACATATATGGTTTTCCACGGTCATCTGGCTTGAAAATCGAGGACCGGCGCAAAGTTCGGCGTTCAAGTATAACCATGCTTGAACAACAGTGGGCAAACAAAAGACATACAAACCAACGACTACAAAGTATGACCTTCATGAGGAATAAGTGGGAGCGACCGAAGTCCTGGTCAGAGGAGCATGCTGTTATTGCTCAACAACGGGGGAGTGAGGAGATTGTACCGGAACAGCGAAGGCGTGCAATGACGGTCGACGTTGACTCGACATCCGCTCGCAGTACTCGTTCGCGGCTGTTCGGCTTAACGAACAAACCCATTATGGAGTCGTTAGACGAACAAGTTACCAGCGAGTCAGATATTATGTCGGAAGCCGATCCTCTCTTAGCTTCTGAAAGAATACAGGAGATGAGGATGGATAACTTTCCGGGAAATGGTATATTGGACAATTTACCGATTGATGTAGGAAGTAAAGGTTCAAGTAAGGACGAACAGAACACATCACAGGTGACTGATAGCAACGATCTAAAGAATCATGACATATCTGGGTCAAAGTCAACTGGATCACGCGTCTCGCTAAAACGACAGCATGCATTACTTGGAGAAGAGAACCTACCAATAGATGATGCTAGCTTCATTGAAGATGAAACAAAATCATGATGACGTCAAAAGTGGTTTTTTTACCTTGCTTACTGTGACGGCGACATTCATAAACAGCACATTGTGAATGTAATATTTACTTTTGTTACACCTCAAGTGAATTTCTAGCTATTTGATTGGTTGGGAGAAAATTAAACAAAAATCTCTGTCACCCTCCGAAAATACATTGGTTTTAAGGGGCGCGGGTGATATTGCCATGAGACAGTGAAAAATATCACATGCGCAAAAAATGTGCGTGCACCGCTTCGTTTCCCCACCGTGATGGTCACAAGAACGTTTGACGGCAACAGCCAATTTTATCAAGCGCCGGTGCGATAGCGATTGTAAACAGCAGACTATCAACAAACAAGATGTCATTATCGAGGTTTGCTGCCGTTTCTGAGCTACATTGACTTTTGGTGTAACAAAATAGATATGACATTCATTAGCAGGTGACAGTGAATATTGTCAACCCTCAAAAACCCATTGTCACCCTCGGCTTCGCCTCGGGTGACAATGGTTTTCTCGGGTTGACAATATTCACTGTCACCTGCTAATGAATGTCATATTTATATAATATTAAAGACAAGCCTTCATATTTCTGTAAAATCAATAAAGATGATTAAGCTGCCCTGGCCTGTTCCTTAATAATTGAGTCAGTTCTCCGTCCTATGTCAAGCAATACCTTCACCTGCAGACACACTTTTACGCTGTAGTTAAATATATTGTTTCCAGTTAAAGAGTATAATGGTACGTACAAGTTTGTTTTTCTCTTATTTGTGCGTATTTTGAATGTTATTTATCATTAATTATATTGTAAGTAAATAGTTTTACGCAGTGTTACTTTCATTTTATTTCTAATGTTATTTTTCTAGTCCGTGATTGCGTATTTCTGAAAGTTAAAAGCTGATCATGTAAAAACATAACTAAGTATTATCAAATCCATGAGAATAATAATTTGGTACACGTGCCGACATATTTAAATTCGTCTCCTCTAAAGCTGCTGTCGTCTTTCCATAACATGTAGCTACAGTTACCTATTCGTAAACAACTTGCTTTTTTATCGTTTTATTTATTTAATAACTAACTTCTGGACAGTATTTTTGTACTTTTTGTTGTATACTTAAAATGGCGTTAAAACAACTTTTTTTTCCAAGATCTAAAAAATACTGGTACACACTAATGTTAGGCTGTTGGTTTCTGGCTCATATTTACATTGCAACTATATAATGTACATGTAGATAATTCATACATTTACATTCATGATTTCTAAATACCATGCAATTCTTACTCTATTATTTTTTGAATGCTAGAAATTTTCATCACTCGTCGATTACAAGATTTTGATTCAACACTGAACAGACTTCGAGAAATTATCGATTTTAAATGTCAATTTGATATTGCATGTTTGTCATGGAAATAAAACTTTGGAGAAATACCTTCATCAAGTCGCCATTTTTCTTTAAATGAAAAACAAATTTTATTTTTATAGTATCGCAACAAATTCAAATTATATGTATAAAAACAAATATTGCAATGAACTGGTTTAGAATTGCATGCTGTTTATTATAACCCTGTATCTTCCGGAGGCAAAAAAATCCAATATTTGATGAATAAAACTAAAGCTATGGAAAGGAAAAATGTGTTGTTGTCAGTTCAATCACAAATTTAACCTGCCGCCTTGCTTGTAGCTACCGATACCGCGTTACTACATGTATAAGATGCAAACACTTGCTTCATGATTGTTGTAAAATAAATGAGGTATATATGTGTATATCTATTTACGGCTAACTCTGCGCAAAAACAGAAACAACAAGTTATGATTACAGCATTGACAACTATAATATTTCATTGGCCACGACAATATACCAGTGACAACGATAACATTTCATTGACCACGATAATTTACCATTGACCAAAATTACAACCCAGTGACAACGATAACATCCAAATGACCACGATAGCATCCAATTGACCACATTTACATACCATTGATAACGATAAAAACCAATTGACCACGATAACATACCATTGACAACAATTACATTCCATTGACAACGATAGCATCCAATTGACCACGACAATATACCATTGACCAAAATTACAAACCATTGATAACAATAACATCAAAATGACCACGATAACATTCAATTGATCACAATTACATACCATTGACCATGAAAACATATAATTGACCACGACAATATCACATTGACCACAATTACATCACATTGACCACGATAATATAATCAACCGCGATAACATCTCATTGACCATGATGACATACTAATGACCACGACAATATACTTTTTACCACTACAGCATGCCATTGACCACGTTAACATACCTACGGCCACGATGGTATTTAATTGACCACGATGATATACCATTGACCACGATAACATACATGTACCATTGACACTATAGCATATCATTGACCACCAAAGCATACTATTGACCACGACAATATACCATTAAGCACTACATCATACTTTGACCACTATAAGATGGTATTTAGCACGACAATATACCATTGACCGCGATAACATACCATTGGTCACGATAACATATCATTGGCCACGATAACATACCATTGACCACGATAACATACAATTGACCACGATACGTACCATTGGTCACGATAACATACCATTGGCCGCTATAACATACAATTGACCACGATAACATACCAATGACCACAATAACATACAATTGACCACGGTAACATACCATTGGTCACGATAACATACCATTGGCCATAATAACATACAATTGACCAAGATAACATACAATTGACCACGATAACATACAATTGGCCACGATAACAAACAATTGGCCACGAAAACATGGTATTTAGTACGACAATATACCATTGGCCGCGATAACATACCACTGACCACGATAACATACCATTGGCCACGATAACATACCATTGACCACGATAATATGCCATTATCAACGATAACATACCATTGACCAAGATAACATAAAAATGTTTCATAAACCACGGTGACAAATTTCTATATCGGACTACATCAACTTTATTCTTTCTTTACTTCGTATCTTAACCCTTTCACCCCTGTAGACCATACTGGACTCATACATATCAATGTATGGTGGAGTCAACTCAAGTTACACAGGGGTGAAAGGGTTAATAGTTATTGAACAGTTTTCAGGTTGATATTCTATGCGATAGAAATATATCATACAAGACTTGTCACTGTCCGACTGTATTTTTAGAGTTGAAAAGTGAACACCCTTTCTTCGATACCCTAGTAATGAGTGTTATTTCTCGGTTCACGCAATTAATGTTTTCATATCATATTTTTTATTATAATGAAATTCATTTTTTGTATCCTCATAACAGGACTGAAAGTATTTTATGTCATTGTATTCCTTTCGTTGTAAGAGCTGGATATCAATTTCATGCAAAGGGAGACAACCTGTGCTGTCTTGGTAAAATACTAACAATGTTGCCGTTTATTCAGCGAAGCACAAGCTCGCCAAGTAAAAATGTCAAATTGATACTGATAAAAATTAATTAATCAACACTGATTAGTAATTGACTAATTATGTCATCTTGATATTAATAATTGCTACTTATGATTAACATCAGCAGTGTTTTGTTGATAGGAAACTAACAAATCAAATAGCACGGTAAAACATATATAATGTATATCGTTAAAAAACGTTCGCCACATCTATAACATGTGTGATTAAACTCTCTTTTAAAATAAAGTTAACTATTTCGTTAAAAACGCTTTGGTAATGTCTTAAAAATGTGCATATATAACATATAAAAATCTCACATCTTTACAAAACGCTCGTTTTCGCTGCAACTTTTAATTTATTTCAATTATTCAATAGACACCCCTAATTAAGTTTTGATTTGAGAGATAACTCTTGGCGTACCGTGCCTGACACTAGCCATACTAATTAGTATTCACTACTCTGAGCGAGAAAAGCGGGTAACTAAAATATGTGCCAATACTGTATATCACAAGTAACGCAATTGACAACGTTGTGTTCTTATTTCAACGTGAAACTTCATGCAGATTTCAGTCCATATCTGTGAAAGGTATGGCGGTGTCTGCAAGTAATCCTCAGATACAGCGTGTGGGCGATGCTTGTGGGAATTTATGGTGAAAACGAGGTGTCTGATATCCTGACACAATTAAAAATGTAATTAACCAGTATCCTCCAATTTTTGAAATTCACATAATTAAGGAGTTTTACGCCCCCCCCCCCCCTTTGTTTTAGTAGTACTTAAAACCAGTTAAGATTCCCCCGTTTTTTACCTCCTGTATCAGGTGTATGGTGCAACTGAATTCAGTCAATTTGGTGTACTATTTCTATAACTTAATTAGACGCTAAAAAAATAAGAGCAAAACGAAGTCAAAATCAAATTTTAAGGCATTAACACATGAGTATATGTTATGTAGATTTTTTAAATTAAACACTTAAAAAGATCAAAGTCAAACTAAAACCAGACCATCGTGTTACTAAACTGCACAATTCGGCATGCTGCTACATTTGCTTAAAAAGCCACCATAACAAAGCTTTTGTAAAATAAAACATTTTAACTTAAATTCTTGTATTCTTTGATAAAAACAAAAAAGAACTACTGCAGCAGTGTTTCTTTCTTGTATACCAACTGGTAAGTCTTACAATTGCTTCGTCCTGTTCAGTTCATGTAAACCTGAACCCTCTTATTTGTGAAAATACCACTCTCCAACTTCTACCAAAAGAATTGCGAAAATCGCTAACAAGACTGCGTCGACTTACACTTGGCTAATTGAATCACTTGTCATAAGGTCCCTTCCACGAAGCTGATTTTTGATGTCAGATTAATTTAATAACAGATGGCTTTGTAAAACGCTGGACTTGAAACTGACATAATGAAATGGAGTTCCGACAGCAGCCAGTAATGAAATAACTCCGCTACATATTGCTGGCTGTATTCTAAAATCACAATCAGTCTGATCAACTAAAGACGGTCACACTTGTGGCATTGCTCTTTGGAATTTTCTGGTCAAATGGAAGCTTTATGTAGAAAAAATCATTTACGTTGAAGGGATATATACAGATATGCAAAACGTTTTTTGTTATTCTGTGTATGTTTTGTGTTCTTATTCCATTTGCAATAATTCACGAAGCTGACAG